TAGACAAAGTATGATGAGCATTTGTCTTCAGGCCCCCTTTTACTTCGACACCACTAAGGCAATGCAGTGCAACTTTTCACCTGGAGGCTCATTCAGTCTGAACCCACAGGGACCAGAAATAACGAACATGCATAGCCATGGAAACCGGCTTCGAACAAGGCATTTTCCCCGTCTTGTGTGTGAAATAATTGCCTATGGAGCAACTTTTTCATCCATATCACTCAGTTATTGACATGAAACAAGCATATTTCTTGCTGGGAAGTTACTTGCACGTTGGTTTTGCCTTGGCTCAAGTCTACTGAGAGTTTTGCATCAGAAACCAGATCAAAATGACTCAAGATTCAGGGCTTTTGCAGTGTAAGACCCTAATACAGTACATGCAAGTCTGTGATTTTTTTTAAGGCCACAAAATGTGAAAGCATGAATATTTTTTTGTTGTTGTTGCAAATTCCAGCCATAAAAGATACATGAAACTCAGCTGCTGCAGCTTTTCCTGTTGGACTGCGCTGAGAGTCATTTTATCATTTATGAGTGAAACAGATCAATGATGAAATTTATCTCAAATGACTGAAACAAATGGATCCAGGTTCTATGACTTCAGTGTGTAATTCCTCAACACGTTGTCCTGCAGTGTTTGCGTGAAGCGCGTTCTAACCACGATCCCGGCCGAAAACACAAACACCGTTTTTCACATCCTGCTTGACGCCAACGGCCTGCAGGGTTCCATGCCTCGGTTTCTGGACGGTATCCTTTTTGCGTTTGCAGCTGTCTTACGTTTCTAGGTCAGAAATGAACGTGTTGATTTGAACAATGTTTTCACTGGACTTTAAAAACAGAAAACTAACACAGAACGGTCAGATACTTGTGTGACGGCGTATTAAGAGCCAACGCAGATAGGAAAAAAAAAGGAGGAAGGAGGAAAATTCTTCCCAAAAACTGAGACATTTTGAGAGTGATCTCAGAAATTTTCTGGGGTAAAAAAAGAAAATTTCAAAGTCTTTTTCTAGTAAACTAAAATTTTGGAGCTCAGAAATGTTCTTGTTTTTTTTCTAGAAAGTTTAATGTGGAAATTGCAACATTTTTGCCGTAAATGTACTTTCTTCACCTGAGACTGACCATTGTGTTGCTCACGTTACCTTAGTCTACATTCAGTTCACTTATTCACTATTATCCACATGTTTGGGGGAGAGAGAAAAAAAATGTGCGACCTCTGACCTTCTCGCCTCAATCTTTCTGGTTTGAGACCACAACAATGACTGACTTTTATTGCTCGCGCCCTTCGCTGTGAAAGTAGAAGGTTAAAGTTGCAAAGTGAAGCTTTACATCTCCTGCTAGCTGTGTTTCATTTGTTTACCTGTTCATCTCTCTTCCTGCTGCCGGCTTTAGCGCTAGCAGGGCAACATGGACGTCGCTCTTTCCAAGTTCAGAGAGGCAACAGATGATCGCGGTTAAACCTCACAGCTAGCTGTTTGCAGCGTGGGCGTTCTGGCCAGCGATAGTCCTTTTACACAATGTTCCATCCAGAGGTGATTCACGCTGGAGGCAGGACTGATGCTTTCAGGTCTGTGTGTTAAAGCACATTCAGACATGTGCCTAAATATGGGAAGCACTGAGGGGGAGTTAAAAGTGCATAATGCTGAAATTTAGTTGAGCCACTTAATATAACTGCTGCTAGCAGAGTGCTGCAGTCCTGACTGAAATAACTCCCAGAGTGCAGTGGTGTAGCACGCTTTTCAAAGGTGCAGGGGATGCGAGCTGACCTGGAGGATCACAACATGAATTAGTTGATGTAGAAATGTTACCTGAGATGCACAGAGTAAGCATATTTATTTGCTTAACGACATCTTATCAGGCTACAAACTTAAAAGTGTTTTCTTGTGTTTTTCAGAAATCCTACTTTTTTTTTTTTTGCGATTTGTCACTTCCTGGATTATTTTGACTTGTTGGTTGTGATTGATTCTTTTTCCTCTGAGGAATACCCTGATTGCATAAAAAAAACAAAAGCTGTCCGTCTTGGCGGCCTGGTTCATTTACATACGCCTTGCAGTTGCGTTTGTGTCACCGACATATTAAAGACGAATGACATGAAATTTGGCCTTCTCAGCATTCCATACTTGAGGAGTAAGAATGTGAATTAGCAATCAAGTGAATCACAAAGACGACGCCACCAATAGTTTTTTGCTGACAAAGATAAATGCGCTCACATCTATTTCACTGCGCGCTCAGATTGGTGCACAAAGACAACGGCGCAGAAATGCATGAAAACCGTGGGTGTTAGTAAACCCACATGGCCACAACGGCCATGATGGTGAACAATATGAGGGCTTGTACTCCATACTGTATAGTCTAGAAATCCTTATTACATTTTTTTTTTCATGCGGGGTAGATTTGGGCATTCCCTGTCCATCCATATATCTCTGTGCTCAGACAAATTAGGTCACCTGTCAGTTCTGGTTCCGGCCCGCGGTATCACCCTTGCCTCTGGCACCACATTTTCAGATCGAGACAATAACACGCCCTCACTTATTCTTATGTCTGACGATTCTATATTTACGCTGATATGTATGGGAGACTTATTGCATTTTGTCAAATGAAAACGTCCATGTCAGAGTGCGATATTCACGGCCGTGACTCACAGTGCAAGTGACTGACCCCGAGGAAAGTCCAACTCTCTGTTTTTTGTCACGACAGAAAGTTTGTAGAGCATCAGAGGAACGCCGCTGTCAGAAGGTTCCTGTTTATAGAGGGATGCAAAAAAATGTTGATATTATGCGGGACACAGTCATCATCTGTCAGAGAAGCTGAGAGATGAGAAAGCCACAGTAACAAGAACCGAAGAACTGAGGACATTCTCATGCAGTTTACTTTGAATGTTGTATATTCTAGCTGATACGAAATATTTTATCATCCCGTAAGTCTGTTTCTGGGTATCATCATAGGTATAATTACCGTAAAAGTATTTGTACGGATTTTGAGAAAGATGCTCAGCCATTGTTTATCAGTTTGTTCACCATATCCCACAAAGCTGAGCACACCTGGACAGCTTCCAGCTCAACCTTTCAGTGGACACCAAGGTGTCGGTTTGAGGTCATTCATATCGTACGCGAACCACTGGGGACCTTACCGAGGTCAGAGGTCAGTTTGGAGGAGGTATCTTTGGTGCTGCCCCGATGAACTGTTTATATCGTATTCTCAAAATCCGACAATTTTGTTCTGGTCTGTTCCCTGGTGTGATTGCTGTGTTCTCGTCAACACAAACTGCTGACTGAACACTTCAGGTGTGAAAACATCCTTGACCCTCCAGTGATATTAAAAGGCCACGGAGGGTCATTTCGACCCCACAAGCTTTCTACTTGTTCCGCGGCCTGGTGGTCACACACTGACCCTGCGTGCGCTTCTAAAGTTTTGAGTGTGCATGTGTGTGTGGTTTGACGGGACCACCTTGTCCCCAAAACTGAACGTAGAAAGTACAATCATAGTAATCACCTGCTGTAGTTACTTACTTGCTAAATCGATTTATTAACTTTCTTGTAACTACAGCAGCATAGATTGTAAGACTATTAGTAGAGGAAGTTCTGCATTAATATATTTTGGTCTCTCTCTTTTTTGTTTGGTAACAAAATGACCTAACATTTTGACAATGGTGCGCACATTGTTTATATCTGCTGTAGATGAGAGTTTAGTGCAGACATGCATGTTACGCAACACTTTAAAAAAAGAAAAAGAAAGAAAAGAAAAAAAGACAAAGCGGGCTGTACAAATGCCCGAAGCTTTAACGCCAATCAGCGAGTCAGTGACTACGTTTTTCACAGGCGTTCCTAATCATCAGTCATGTCGGCAACATACAGACCTCTGCTTGACGTTTTGACATCCTGCTACGCACGCCACGCCATTATGCCTAAATTGGTACATGCATAGTTACACAAACTATGATGAGTCAGGATCACCCCTTTATATAAGGAGGAAGAAACACCAAAAACACCCAATAAAAAACAGATTTTTAGACGGATTCAGACTGTTTTTCGCAGAGGTTGGAATAAAATATCTGTACTTCCACCTTTCCTTTTTTCTGCTGGAGTCAATATCATCGTTTTCTATCTGTAATACTAGAGAGTCCATCGCAGCTCTCAACAATATCTGCCTCTGGAATTGCGTTCGCTTTTCAAGCGAGAAAACGGCGTCTGAATCATCCATCATCAGCGCCCACATTCATTTGATAGCCCCACTAACCCCCCCTCCTCCACCCGTTACTGTTTGGCTACAGCTGAAAGGAAAATGTCTGTTTATGCATAAGTATTTGCGGCTTAACTCCACAGAGAAGAGTTCAACGAGAGTTTTGCTTTTTGCTGTCGCTTATGTCGTTTACACAGTCAGAGTGTTTTGGCTTTCTTAGGTACAAATTTATCCATCCGTTCATCTTCCATTCATCTGAGATTTACTGTCAGGATACACTCTGAGGCCGAGGGCCGTCCCAATATCAATAAATCAACTAATGTGTGAGAAATTATAACAAACTTCCCACCTGCGTGACTCGTTTCTCTCTTTATATCAAAAGCTGGATGATAAAAGTCTTTGGTCTCAACTCGCCCCGTTTTTTGAAGGGCAGTTTTGTTCACGGAGGTCTCAGAATTAATTCTGTTTATTTATTTTGGATATTGAAGAGGAGTTTGATTTTGTTGACTCAGTCTCTCAGAAATCTTATCGTCAGCTCAATGGAAGAACGACTTCTTGCATTTGCACTTAAATTACAAATATGGCTGCGAAATTTTGACTTAGTTTGAAGATCAGCTCCATGCACATCTTTCCTTACAAATAATTTATTCCATTTGTTCCATGAATTTGACATTTTTGAGTTATAAATTTGGGGGGTGGGGAGGTTCACCAATCACAGTCTCAGATCCAATATGGCAGCCAAGCACCGTGACAGCAGCCACACCGAGTTGTTCAGTTGTACTTTTGATGCTAAATCGATTTATCAAGAGTAACATGTACTTTTTGAACATGTTCCTTTAATGTTTGAATGTAAGAAATGCTGAGGAGCGCCATTTTTCTTGAATTGCTAATGCTAGCTAGCATCATCACGTTGTTTCCATTGTTTTGACCAATTGGAACAATGTTTAGGAGACTGTGTCTTTTCGAGATTCAAGTTTTAGTCACTCACAGAGAACACTTCTGCTGACAACTAAAACTCAAATGAGTTGAATTGACTTTAAACAAACAATTTCAAGTCATTCAGATCCATTAATTGAACGGACAAATTTGTACGTGGCTGATTCGACTCAAAATCTGGTCTGCTTGAAATATCCTGCACAAATGACAATAGCAAAATAATCTTACTTGTTATATTTACAAGAAATACAAGGGCAGGAAGAAAACTTGGAAAAACGTGCAGCCACCTTGTAACGTTCCTTTCTTATTGCTCACGGGACACAATGGTCAGTAAACAATGAATCATGAGCAAGGCAAACATTTCAGTATATGTAAAAAAAAGACCTTTACTTTTTATTCAAACTTTACAACTTGCGTTATGCTAATCAGAGTAAATTGTACTTGTATTGCTTTTAGACTCTGTAAAAAGTTACAATATTCAATATACAATATTCAGTGCAGAGACTGAATATTGTGAAGTTCCTCATGCGAAAGTCGGTGTTCAAGGATTTCATTGGTCGTTTAGGTTTTTCTTCCTGTCTTTCATGCATCACCAAGAACCTTCCAGGCTTTTACATCAAGTCAAGTGAAAGTTCAGGACTTTTTGACAGGAGATTCTAAAAAAAAAAAAACATTATCAGCAGCTAATGTCTTACCTGCAGTATAGACTCAGTACGTCTTCGACTGATTAAAATCCAGATTTGTTGGACTAAATCTGACAGGCACCACGACCACATGATCCTAAACTCCAATCTCAAAATTAGAGTTTGATATTAATTTTATAACCTTTTACACCATTTTCAGGTTTGAATGGATGGATATTTACAGAGAAACCTACGAATGTTTCAGCAGATATGGAGGGTGGAGGTGGTGCGTCTCTAATAATCTTCCTTCTCAAATGGCAATTTCCAGTAATTATGTAAATGTCTATTAATTAAAAATGACTTAAACCACAATGTTTGTTTTTTTATACACAAAGTCTCAATAATAAGTTACAGAATAAGACAATGGGACTTGGTAGCACCTCTGTTTAGAACAATTACAAATTATAACTGTGATTCAACACTTGAAGGTAAAACTATGAAAATGGTGACAGTAGCTCTATATTAATTAGCATAAAAAATCAGCTTGACTAAATGCTACTTTATGATTTTTACACTGCATTTCTTTCCTTTCTGACTGTTAATCTGACCTCGAACACTTTGTTGATCTGTTCTCATCACGTTTCATGCAGGAAGATAATCAGGGATGCGCTGCCTCTACTCAACATTTCCTGTGTTTCTTCTAAAGCAGAAATTTGTTCATAAACTGATGTGACGTTTTGAAATCGGGAGTTGTTTTCGGTCTGTAAGAGTCTGTTTGAGCCTCGGATTGTTGGTAGCATCAGCTAGCCAACGACAAAACCAGCTAATCTGGACTGATGTGAAATGAAGACGCAGAAATATTAACTGCTGATAACGTTTCAGCCTGAACTCATTCCAAATGTCCTGAACTATCCCGTTATACAGTCCCTTCAAGTCACACTGGGCCTTTTGAAGACAGAAGTTTCCATAAAGATGCAGGAGATTACTGAAGTGCTTTACATTGAAGATGCAAAATCGCTCAGCATCATAAAAAAATATTAATGTAAAACTAGTTCAGAAGAGTTTCGAGGCCAAAAGTCTGAAATATAAAATAAGCTGAGTGTGGACAATGTAAGGAAACACCAAACTGGTCTATTGATGCCAGTTTTACCAACTCACACTTCCTTTCCGCTCAACAAATTCAAATCCCACTCAAACACAACACAGAATTATACAACATACAGATTCATACATTTGCATATGTGGTTTATGTATCACCCAGCTATGGGGACCGCCAGCATGGAGACTGAAAAAACCGCCCAAAAAAACAGTTTCATCTCCGGAAAGCGCCCTACAAATGATCAGAAAGACATTCCTCATCCGTGTTCTGTTTGGAAGCCGAGACTCAGTGTTGATTTAATGTCAGACTTCACAGACAGCTGTAGAGGTGTGTGGCAGGAGGCACTGCGGGAATCCATGGTGAACGGATTCTTTCAAACGGTATGTGAGGTTTTTAGGCTCCTGTTGCCCCGCTCTGTTCTGCCTCTGGATGCACCAACCGTCTCGATTCCTTCCTCCTCGTCCTCCAGGTCCAGCTGATTGTCCTTCTTCTTGATGTAGCGCTCGTACAGCACCATGACGACGCCCATCAGCCACGCCGACACCGTCCCGGCGGCGAAGATGACGAAGCCGATGACAACGAAGAAAAGGTAGTCCCAGGAGTCCAGTGTCTGGTGACATAACGTCCGCAGCTGGATGCCCACCTCACTCAGACGGCGACCTTGCATGTCAGCCGGTGAACCGCACACTGTCTGGCCCTCATCTGTCACACACACACACACACACACACACACACACACACACACACACACACACACACACACACACACACACACACACACACACGCACACACACACACACACACACAGAGACAAGAAGTGATGAAGATTATTCATGGGACAATGTGGCCTGACAGCATCTTCAGCAGTGGATACTAAATAACTGCTCAGCATTTCCTCACTAACTTTAAAACCTGCCAAATCACACACTTAGATGAACACCAGCTGTTCAGAAATGTTGCATATTTATTTACAAAATAAATTACCTGGCAAAGGTATTCAACTGTTTAAACATTTAGTCCTATTACAACCACAAACTTCCATTTAAGTTGACATAAGCAACGGTTCGATTCTGGCGTGGTAAAATCGAACACTTGAAACCTTATTTCATTTTATGTATTGTTCCGTTGCTGCACCTCACAAAAGATTTTGTTACAATTTTCACTTAAATCATCGTTTCTTTGCATTTTATTGGGGGGGGGGGGAAAAACCTGCACGCATATTTGTTTAGTTTTTCTATTGTTTCCGTTTATATTATTAAAATATTTCGCAGATATACATTTTGTCCAAATTCTGTTGTAGGTTGTCACAAAAATAACTCAGACACAAAACAATAAAAAAACACATGAAGATTACAAATGCGAAGATTTGTCAACATTTAAAAATAACAAGTGTAAGTATCGGAATCTGTATCGGCAATACTGGCCGCCCGATTACTTCGTATCGGATCGATGCCAAGATATAGAGAGTCACACAGCTCTAAAACTTTGCCGTTTTATCTACAAGCACCAAGAGGAGCAAAAATTTAAATTTTAATAAGGATTAGTCTCAGCCCGCTAAGACCTCAGGATTTTTGTCAGATATTTCCCAATTTAATTTACTGCACACATGCTGTGTTTTTGTTGCATGAATCAAGTGCTGTGGGCCCAGGATAATTCACTGAGTCTCATATCATCCCTGGTCTGAAGACGACCTGTCTGGTGCTGCGAGAGGAATGCTGTCTGTTTTTCTGTACACAGCAGTGGGAGTCACAACCAAATCCCTGAGTTCTTCCTCTCACTGTCTCAGAGTAAAACTGGTTGTTTGGCCACGTTTCCATTTGGACGTCTTGTAGTTGCTCGTGTTGCCAGTGATTTTATCAGCTCCACAGTCAAAACACACTTTGCTTCTGACACGCACAAAAATTTAAAAGAACCTTTGAGCAAGTCAATGCTGGTAAACAGAGCTGAACAAACATGAAAATGCAGAAATCTGCTCAGGTATTAAAATTCTGCTGCCTTCTTTATCAAAACACTACGAGGCTTTGGGGGTTTTCTGTGTTCCACAGTTTTAAGTTAATGCAGCATTTAAAATCTCACACACACAAAATGAATTATGCAAACTCCTTTTCCCCACACAGGATTAGAGAGGGAGTCGGGTCTTTGTGTCTGCCTGAGACCTCAGATAACAATGTTTCTCATCATCAGGCTTTAGGTGGGACTCCAACTAAGACCCTCTGAGATCTACAAATCCCAACAAAACGTTGACTTTCCTCGTTTCAAGTGAACTGGATGGAAGTACAGTCAAAATCCAACACGGAGCATGATGGATGCGACACTTCTTTTTTTTTTTTTAAGTTCATTTTCTGCTAAACCGAGACAGAACTCTAACGCTGCTACAGACACTGCTGGTAATTGGCATGTATTTTCTCAAAGGCTTTTGTGTTGTGAGGGATCAAAAGCTTTGAAATCCTCTGCAGTGGGAACAGTGTAACTGTCACTCTGCACCAACACCACATAAATACACACCATCACTTAGCCAGAGAAGAAGAAAAAATTGTTCTGGACTTCAGTGAAGATCTGCTGCGTCAACTCACTGAACGCGCTGAAATCTTTCAGCACAAAGTGAGACGGACGACAGTAACAACGTCTCATTTGCACAGCATCTCTTACGTAAATGTCTTATAAATATTACCTCACTAATTAACTGTTTGCAGGAGACGGTGGCGCATCGCAAACCTTCCTGAGGACATTTTATGATCTCATTCACTTGCCACCTTTAAAACTTTGTCTTGATTGATGAGGTTGAAGAGGAACTTCTCTTATCAAATCAGTTCATGTCGCCTTTTGGAACTGCACATCTGCTGAGCTCAATATACGAGCTTCCCCAGCAGATCCACTGTTAGCATCATAAGCTAATAATTGGATCAGAATCATGTGCACATCAAAACGCTGAAGCAACATGTTCAGCATGTGTTGTAAGGTACCATCTGTGTGCCTAATTTAATGACATGTTCAAATAAGTCCTTACTCCAGCTTACTTCATATGGCAGCCATATTGGATTTTAAAAACAGGGCTGGCAGGAATCCACCCCCTTAATTAGTGTTGCAGCTCAGTTCGTAACTAAGATGACATGAAACAGTATCGTACCTTCACAGAGAGGCCAGCCTACTAAAATTACACCAAGAACACAACAAAGTCACCAAAGAGCCCAGAACAAAGTCTAAAGAACCACAGACTTCGCTTGCCTCCATTAAGGTCAAAGTTCGTAATCCTTCAAAATAAGGCTGGAACCCCACAGATGAGGTGGAATAAATGTATAAAAATGATCTGGATTCTTGTAACTGGGTAATAAAACTTCTGCTCCAACTTCCTTGCCCCTTATAATCAATAAAAACTAACTCAAGTTAGAAGGCAGTGTGTTTTTTACAGCACTTTTTTTTATGCTCAATGAAATTACTTGACAGCTCACCTCTAAAGAAAAAGGACAAATTGACGTGTCTGAATATTTTAAGAATTTAATGTCTAAATCTCTAGCTCTCCTCGGAGATGCACTTCCGTGACTCGAACTTCTGGAAATTAGCTTATCGGGGTCAGATGTGCTGCAGAAAAAAAATTCAAAGCGCGCTCTGATCCTCTTGGAGGCGGCTGCTGCTGCTGCTGCAGCTGCAGCATCCTGCTGCTCTCTCTCTTCATACAATATGCTGTTAGAATCTCCGGCTTCATAAGAGTCCACTCTCCTTCCATGCCCGTGCACATGCATCCCGCCCTCCCTGCATCCCATCGTCTCTGTACGTGTCGCAGGCCGAGAGCCGAGCTTCCTCCTTCCATCCTCCCGCAGTCGCCTCATGTTTGCACGTCTGCTCTCCACGTGTCTCACCGGCAGGAAGGAAAACCCTCACCCACCTAAACCCTCCTCATCCTCCCGGCCCCCCCGATGGGGACTGCCATCAAAGACGAGGGCTTTCCCTCTCTACTTTCCTATTCGCACTCTGCTCCATTTCGAGGCGCTTCCCTTATATAACAACTGACAGAGCGCTAACGCAGCCAGGAAGGCGAGACAGACGAGAATCTGTTGGTTCCTTTCCTGAGGCTTTTGTTCTCTCGTTCTCTCTCTGTTTTGCGTTTGCTGATTCTCTAAACTGAAGGAGACAGGCAGCTCTCGTGCTAAACCAGGTGAGATCCAGACAACCAGGGGTGTCTCTAGGTTTTCTTTTTCTTAAAGGGGGGCCCAGGCAGGAGCACTAAATAATGTGCCTCACAGTGTGAAATATAATTTTTTCCCCCTTCATCCAGCCTAACGTTATTTTCCTCAGGCACCCGTCTACCACCGTCCTATGTTGTCTGTTGTTTTTTTTGTCCTTTTTTATAAAATAATATGACATATTGTCATAACAGACAGCAGAACCAATTTTCATGTCATTGCATCCCTGACTAACACTTTGCTGGATCTCTCACTTTTTAGACAATGCTGACAAAAAATTACCCAAAAATCTGAAATTACATTCAGTGTAACATTAGAAATAAAAAGCAGCATTTAAACTCCGGGGCTTTGGTTGGCCTTAGACAGTCAAACATCATTTAACGAAAACATTAATAAAAAATAATGATAAACAAAGCTATTTATTTTCCCACACAGAACATGGATCTGTTTAGCATGTGGAAGCTGTACAGTGGATTTCTTTGTTATGGTGGCTTAGAGGACAGGCTAATTATGCCAGTCACTCAAATAGCCTGATTAGCTTAGCGTAGCCTACCTGTATCAAACCCTGTTTTACGCTAACTCTATTCAACTTAAATTAAAATGATTGAAACACTATAACCTAAAAATAGCGCACTGCTTCAGAAAACCATTTTTCTACTTTAAGAAGAGGTTTTTATTTTTTTTAGTGCAGTATTTTTGCAGCTGTTTTTTCTTATTAAAAATCATAAACCAATCTCTCACTGAGACAAGAGATTCACATTAGCCACTTGGCTATAGTCTCATGTAAGTATTAATTAATATGTGATGTCCTATTTTTGTTTTTTTTAATAACTTCAATCAGCAACAAAAAAAATATTTTGGCATTGTTAACCAACAAATAGAGCATTTCTGTCATTTACTGACATGCAGTGTGGAGAAAACGTTAATTTATCTACAACATGAGATGGACCTCCCAGTTTTAAAAAAAAAGACGACAGATTTCGCGTGCAGGACAGAAGGATGCGTGTGTCTAAGAGTTCAGCTTCTCCTTTCCTGGCAGCTGTCACCAGAAGAGGCCGCAATCCAAATTATTCGAGACAAATGGCGACGAGCGGCGGGAAAACTGGGACATCTCCGGCAGTGGTCCTGGGGACCGTGGCGAAGCGCACGGCGAGCAAGAAGCAGGGGCTGGAAGTGGTATGGGAACCGGGTGGGGGTAGTTCAGAGAGCGTGGAAATTGCATTGCAGCCATGGTGTTAAAATCACGACTGGCTTCTCGCTCAGTAAGAGGCGCCATAAATAGCAGCTGGCCTTTTGCACAGCGACACGTCCACACCGAACCAACGGCATCGTAAATCAAAGTTTAGGATTTGCGCAGAGTATCGAAAACGATTTTTCAAGTTGGCAGGGAAATAACAGTGGGGATCAATATTTGATGGGGGAGACCATGATTCGTTAATCACACCTGCAGCATCGCGTCCCGGCAGCCGAGTGGAAAAGGAATCGATTCGTCGTTCCTGGATAATAAGACTTTCGTGTTTCCAGTCAAAACTGCAGCTGGTCGAGCTGAAGTGGCTAAAAGAGAATCAGGAGACTCCAGTTTTTCTTCTTCATCATTTAACCGTCCAACAATCTGAGCCAGACTTTAGAAAATGCTCAAAGGGGCAGTAGCCCAGGGCATCAAGTCTAGGGGCGCCCAAAAATTACTATTTATATATATATATATATATCTGCTGTATTCTACAAAATGAAATTTTTTCTCATAAAAAAAGGGATTGTTTTTTTTACTTGCATCTTTTCAAATATTTCTAGTATATAAAATGATCAAATAAGATAACTTGTTAAATGTGCCATTTTATTTCACTCAATTAATTGTCAGATCAGATTATTAAAACAATCGTTAGTCGCAGCCCCAGACCTGAGATTAAAGTCATGGTGTTTTTATTAAATATTGTTGGACTTTTATGAATTTAAGCTCAACTCAAATATTGGAAATTTACTACCTTTTTTTTTCTGTTCTCTGGGACAGGGCACCAGAACTCCCTCCAGCCCAGGGGCCCTTATTCTTCTAAATCTGGCCCTGCTCACAGCGGTCAAACGTTGCTTCTGACATCTAAAAGTCATGGAACCGAAGGATGAGAGAGCAGATCATGAAATTAAAAAAAAAAAAAAAAGAATTCAAAATATTTGGGGGTCAATTGCTTTCTATTTTGTCAAAATTTTGTCAAATTTCTTTTACCATTCCCAACCACCAACTACAATTTTAATTATTTGAATTTAATAGCATGTACCAGAATCCTTCTGGGTTTAGGAGTTTGCTGTCTTCTCACTACCTGAACATCATCTCTCCGCTGACAGAATGAGATGTTTTCTGTGATTTTTTTTAAATCTAATTATTTTTAATGTGCTCCTTTGCCTTGCAGTCTGTTGACACTTTTCCAGAAGTCTGAAAGGCTGCAACATGTCAACCCTAATCTGAGGTGAAATGTTGCTTTATTTGCTTCTGTGATCGTTATTAATTAGCGTTGCTAACTCAAACGTTCGGCAGATAAATCATTTTTGGGACTTCTGCAGTTTCTTTGTTGTGTTGGGTTTTATTTTCTCTATTTGTGTTTAACCCACAACTTTTCACTGTGATTATAAAAAAAAAAAAAACAGCAGCAGTCCTGCAGGCTATTTGCCATTTACTTGTGTGAAATAATAAGAGATGCTAGGGTTGCAGATGTTGCCTGGGTGATGTGAGGCGAAAGGAATTGTGCAGCGCGGCGTCTGCGTGTTTATGACAGGAGTGGTTAGTTTTCCTCTGAGGCTCCAGGACAGAAGGAGAGAAAACTGTAAAACTCCCTGTGGGTAATTATAAAAATAAGATCTTAAGACGGAATCTAAAACTCATAGATTGATTTTTACCACGCAAATATCGATTAGATACCGACACTGAGTTGGCATCAATATTATTGATGCATTTCATTTCTGTTCATTTCAACAACAAAGGCATACAGATAAAAAAAAAAATTTTAAACTACATTTAAGCCAGAAATTTGTATATGACCAGTAAAAATATACAAATGCGCTTGGTTGGAGCGTATTATTTTATAAATGACTGCATCAGTGCGGCGTGACACGGTTATGTTGACGTGTTCAGGAAGCTCCAGGCTGCTTTGCTATCAAAATCTTCAACTGGATTTGACTCACAATTATTTAAAGGCTGTGGTTATCCCTGTTGCTTCCCCCATTTATTTGTGTGTTTGTTTTTTTTAAATCACATTTTCCTTCCACTCAACTTTCCAATATTATTGGACTAAAAAAAAAAACACATTATGATAATGTCATAATCTTTCTACATTAAATTCCTTTTTAATTAGTCTTCATTTTTTTCGATATGCCTTAAGACAAGTCGATGTCAAAATTCATATAATGTTAATCTAATGACGTTTAAAAATTTTTTACTTAACTTTGCCATGTTTTGTGGTGCTGCAGCCACAAAATTAAATGTGCTTTTGCAACTTTTTATGCAACACATGAACTCAAAGATGTGAAGTGGAGGGACAGTGATCAAATCAAACTTTTTTCTTTTACAAAAAACTTGAAAAGTGCGGCGTGCATGGACTGCAGCAACAACTCGCTGACCGAGGTGTCGCTGCAGTCTGTTTGATTCCGCTAAATGAAAGGCAGCTCAACAATTAATTTCTTTTGTTTACTTGTGAAACAAGACATGGGAAAAATAAGATCATGAAGCCATAGTATTTGTTTCAGAAGCAACATAAGTACTGAACCTACCATGTATCAGTTCAGATCCACTGGTGTATACTAGCATTGACTAGTATACATCAATCGGACCATACATCTGATTGTATGGTCGGATTGTATAGGAGTGGACCGGGGCACCAAAACTGAGGCCCACATCATTCTAAATCCGGCCCTGCTGCCGAGAGCCACAAATTAACTTCCCTGTAAACATTACACCAGATTAACGCACATTTGTTCTTAGTTGACTTATAGGTTGCACAGGTTTTTGTTTTGTGGTCTCAGTTTGTGTCACAAATTCAAACTTGAATACATTAAAGTTTGTGGCTGCGATCTGACGAAACATGAACAATTCAAGGGGCATTTTGCACCGAGGCGAGATTTTTATTTATTTATTCAATTTATTTTTTGATGAAAGTGTGTTTGCATACATTGTACTTAATATATGAATCACGGGCCAATCAGGTGAGTTGTAATAGTATTTTGGGCTTTTTATAAATTTAAACAATAAGTTCATATCTAATTATTAATCCACTGTAAATTGAATTAGCAAAATAACTTTTTGGCCCCAAAACGGTTTCCAACCCAACGGCCCCAAATCCTTGTACAAGCGGCCCTGATCATGTATCGACCTAAAGACGTTTGGGGTCAAATTCAGATTTTATCCAGGGTGATGATTCAGTATTTTTTCTAATTATTTTGTATTTTGACAGGAGTCGCTTCCTGCCAACAGACTCCACTAAAAGGCCGGTCCGTTACGTAACCGGGCTTTTCTAATTAGCTCCAACTGGAGCGTGTGGCACGCGCTCCCTGAACCAACCGCTTCCTCACGTGACACCGGGGGTTGAACGTGACAGCGAGCCGACGGGACCTTGGAACTTGAAGGTCTCCAGGTGGACCCACAGGCAGAGGTCCTCGTTGTCGCACTGGCAGCTCCACGGGTTCCCGCCGAGCCCCACGGAGCGCAGCGCGGCCAGCGCGAGCAGCGACGTGATGTTGAGCGCCGTCAGGTTGTTCCGGCTCACGTCGAGCACCTGAAGCGCCTCGTTCTCCGAAAAGGCGTCCGGGTGGATGTCGGAGAGCCCCGGGTTGTCCGTCATCCGCAGCATCACCAGGCCGGCCAGGGGCCCGAACGTCCGGTCCTCGATCCGGCGCAAGGCGTTGAAGGAGAGGTCCAGGTAGGCCAGCTTGCGCAGGTTCCCGAAGGTGGACTCGGACACCTCGGTCAGCGAGTTGTTGCTGCAGTCCAGGTAGACCAGGTCGGACAGGTAGTTGAGCGCCAGCGGCGGCAGCTCCGCGATGCGGTTGTTGGAGATGATGAGCTGCCGCGTGGCCAGCGGCAGGTCGACCGGGAAGGCGGCCAGGTGCTGCCCGGCGCACTGGACCACCAGCTGGTCGTCGCACACGCACCTGTCCGGGCAGCCGGCGGAGATCACCGGGGACGGCACGACCCCGGCGCCCAGGAGGAGCGCGAGGAAGACTACGAGCCGCAGGGGTTGCGCGCTTGTTGGCTGCGGGGCAAGACGCATGACACCGCCGAGGGCTTCATCCAGCCCGTCTGGACAGAGACAGACACAGTCACATTCCTCATTGATGTGCCGTGAGGGGGCGGGGAGGAGAAGGTGGCCGAGTTGTTTTGTCCCCAGAAATGATTCCAGATCCCGAATGCGTGGCCGCCCGTGGCACGCTGCTGCCGCTGCGCGCCGAGTCTCACTTCATCCGGCCAGCTGCTCCTGGAGCCCGCGCGCATCCGCCGCCGCGTAAACTTGACCCCCGGATGCCTTCGTGCTGCCTCGCATCTTGATTTCTTTTCTTTTCTTTTTGATTTTTTTCCTGTCGAGGTTATGGCTCGCTATTCGCACGTCGTAAAAACCTCACAGCGGTCTCCCGTCTCAGTTGTTCCATTAGATTTGTTTTTTTTTTTTATGTTGCCATCCTGACGCTCACTGTAACTGAATCCAACTGCGAGATGGAGAGAGGAGGAAGAGGAAGATGAAGGAGAGAGACAGAGAGAAAGAGAGAGAGAGAGAGAGAGAGAGAGAGAGAGAGAGAGAGAGAGAGAGAGAGAGCTCACGCTTTGGAGCGAGCTGGAGCACGAGCGCAGGGGTCTGGGTACCGGAGGGAATGCAGGGCCGCTCTCACACATGGAGGAAGCACAAGCCGTGCGCGTTTGGCATTTGGTGATAAAGGTCACCTGGAATCCCTCCGCTGCGGGTCTGCGTGACTCAGGTGGGTTCCAGTAATTATGATCAGCTCGGCTAATATGGTGTCGGAGCGAAAAAGATGACGGGAACGTCCCGCAAGCAGGGGCGGATCCTGCTGAAGGCCCCCGGCCCCCAACAAAAAGCGACAAACTTTGTCCCATTTTCCACTAACGTCCAATATTTCAAATGGCGTTTGCATTAAATGAGAAACACAACTACAATCACACGAATATGTTTGTTTACATGGTAAACCATTAAAATAAATAAATACATAAAAATGCAGCTCCGTCATCCTCCACTATTGTTGATAATGTGACATGACAGTTTTACAAATTTAAATATAATTTCACACGGCAAACATATAAAAAATAAAATGAAGCCAAAGTGATTCTCGTGTCAAAACTTTATGTTTTGTGTGTGTTTTTTATTATTGTTATTATTATTAGAGTGTTTCCATTAAGCAAATTTCTTTTCAAAATGCCAAATTGCATCACAATTGCATGGTTTGAATCTTAGAGCAAACATTAAAAACCAAAATAATTAGTTCACATCCTGTTTGGTCTACTTCTTTCGAACTTGAGTTGCTTCGTCTAGAAACTCTGGTTTGTTTGGGGACGTAATTGAAATCCAACGTTTCCCCCCCAAAAAAACAAAACTATGGTCCATCTACAAACCAACCTCTCATCTGGATTAAAACGGAGCAGGACATGAACTGAAGCGCAAGGAATTCTGGGTAAACGCAACCAAAACAAACGTGAGAGTCCATAGCTTTAGAGAGAGGGGAATAAAAGCTTGTGGTCTTTTACCGAAACCAAAACAGAAATCCTATAATCTGACGCTTCTCCATTTTGTTTCCATTTCACCAAGAAGGAAGTTGCGCTCATCGTGTTCTTCAGAGGTTTTCATGTCGTTTCTCTGGCTGGTGATTGGCGCAGCGCCACCACAGGTCAGGGGTTTGCCAAAAGGTTTCACAGTGCAGTGGGAAAGTGAACAGCAGCATCTGAAAATGTAACAAAATCAACCTGAACGTTTTCACAATCTCAAACAAAGTTTGACGATCTGTGACTGTGGAAAACGGCGGTTTGGGCTACGTTCTGGTCTTTTAGACTTTTACCCTGGAGATGATCAAACTGAGGCCGAATTACATTAAACTGTTATCTAAAACTTCACATCAGCACCAAATTGGAGACGCGCTTAAAACTAAGCAGCAAGTAAAGGGAGTGACTGAAGGATCGACTCTGCTTTGTTTCCGATTTCTCTGCAGCAGGTGACAGGACAGGATGTGATGGGTGGTCTCAGGGTTTTTTTTTTCCCTTTATTCTGTGTGGAGTCCTGAATCTATTCTTGGTTCTGTGTGTAGGTGTTGAAGTGCTGAATCAGACCCAGCAGGATGGAGGAGGAGCAGCAGCAGGAGGAGGAAGACAGATGTTGCTGCTGACGAGTCGTATTGAACAAATTACCCCAAAATGGCACCCAGCAGCCCCTTTTTACACACACACACTGACCACTCTCTCTCTCTCCATGTTTGTCTTCCACCCTCAGAGATCCACTGAAAGGAAATCTGTTGGGTTTCTGTCAGGTTGCTCTCCATGTGGACTGAAGTCATCCTCACAGCTGGTTGAGCCCTTATAAACTGGCTCTCTGGGAACATCTAGTGTCGGCAACCAGGAACTGCGTTTTAGGATGGATATTTGATGGATGTTTTCACTCTCAGCTTTGCTACTGTTGTGAAATGGAAGTGAAAGCGGAACCAGCGGACGTTTCACATGGTCTTTAAAGATGACCAATAAGTGGAAAAAAGACAACAACAAAATTATCAAGAATAATCAAAATATTATCTAAAAGTAGGTTCAAAGTTTATTGTTCTTACTTCACGTGCCACCGTTTGAGGTCAAATGTTGGTGGGTTTTCTTGAGGCCTCCACTCGAATCGATTGTGCACCAACTGATGGCCAAGCAGTAAACAATGTCGCACTTTATGGAAAAGCGACAAAAATGCAGTTGTTGCTGAAATACAGACATAAAGTGTTATGTTTGAAGCTAATCATTTGACCCGCATGCAGAATGCACTTCAGGATACAGAGAAAATCAGTTAAAAAAAGTTTATTTGTAAAAAGAATTAGAACGCATCTTCTCTGCAGGGTATAGGACGGCTGGAGATCTGGATCTCTGAGACGGAGTAGAGGAGAGGTGAGTAAGTTGTACTGAAGGTGATGGAGTAATTAATGAGAAGACCTTATTTGTGAAACGGGGACTGATCCGCCAGGGGGGTTGTTATCCTGCTGGTGATGGAGGTTGGTTTCTAGGTGGAGTGTCGGATCGAGGTGGAGTTGGAACTGAAGCCGAGAGCCCACCAACCTTCAGCTTGGTTGATATCCAGTGGTCATATCGCCAACATCAGTAAGTGGTGATGGGCAAATGAAGCCTCATGAAGCAATGAAGATTTCCAACCCTCTGCTTTGCAAAAAATGTTCATTACTTGATGCTTCATTCACCATTCAATGGTGACATCTGCTGGTGAAACTGTAACAGCCTTGTCACTCAGTTGGATCACGCTTCCAAAGATTAGTAAATACAATATTGTCATAAAGTTTTCATCAAAGTCATGTTTAGTAACAGGAGAACCAGTTAAATGATGTTTAATTGTCATTTGTTTTAATTATTAAAATGATTTGCAGCCAATCTAATCCTGGTACAAGTTGAACATCAGTGGTTGTGTTGGGTTTTCTTTTATGTCATATACTGATATGACAATAAAGACATTTGATGTTTTAGTGTCTTGGGAGTGCAGTGCTTGTTGGGGCATTCGCTTTTTCTTAGATTTCAAACTGGCTTTGATCCTTTATGTTTAGCTACATGCAGAATTTTAGTCTTGCAACAGCATTAAATCTGTTTCTGCTCTGCAAGACTGATATAAATATGCTATTCAGACTACAAATAACTGTGGAAATTTCCAGAAGGTGAGTAATTGAGAGTAAATAATATTGAAGATGAATATTAAGAGTCCACTAAAAGGCAAGCAAATGTGTCAGAAGTGGGATTTGAACCCACGCCTCCAGAGGAGACTGCAGCCTAAACGCAGCGCCTTAGACCGCTCGGCCATCCTGACATCACACAGATGTGTTGATGTTGTATTTGTTCTGAGAATCCACATACAGGTGAAAGCCACTTGGTTGATTGAGAGCTCTACAAAGTTACATTTTCTCTGTATCTATTGGGATGATTGCACTGCTTATACGTGGAAATGCCACAGCAGCAGTCAGTGGGTCCTCCATTCTTACACCAACAGTAAAGGAGTCGAGTTAAAATGATGACTCCTAGAGTGGAATTGAGGTAAATGAGAAAAGTCATTTTGTCAGAAGTGGGATTTGAACCCACGCCTCCAGGGGAGACTGCGGCCTAAACGCAGCGCCTTAGACCGCTCGGCCATCCTGACTTCCATCACCTTGATGCGCGATGCCTTTGCATGTGGTATGCCCGAAGCTCAACGCAAACATGAATTCAATTAGGACGTTAAATGTTTGCTCATAGCGGCGAGCAAAATTCAGCAGCTTTTCCGCCAAAGTACGGGTTGCGTTTGCATTGTTCCCATTCCACCTTTGTAAAAGGTTACCATAATGTGTGCTGAGAGATTTTATTCCAGGCAACCACTGAATGTCTCCCACAGTTGTTGGCAGGACTGACCCAAAATTTACTTTCTTAGTCCACTTAAAGGCAAGCAAATGTGTCAGAAGTGGGATTTGAACCCACGCCTCCAGAGGAGACTGCAGCCTAAACGCAGCGCCTTAGACCACTCGGCCATCCTGACTTCCAATAGTACGGCAGGAGATGTCTTTGCATGTGGTGTGCATGAAATGCAAAGTACACTTTAATAGTGAATAAGGACTATGCCAAACGTTTGCTCATAGCGGCGAGCAAATTTCAGCAAGTTTTCCGCCAAATTACGGGTTGCGTTTGCATTGTTCCCATTCCAACCTTTGTAAAAGGTTACCATAATGTGTGCTGAGTGATTGCATTGCAGAGAACCACTGAATCTGGTAGACCTGACCAGAATCTCACTTTTTTAGTCCACTTACATGGAAGCAAACGTGTCAGAAGTGGGATTCGAACCCACGCCTCCAGGGGAGACTGCAGCCTAAACGCAGCGCCTTAGACCGCTCGGCCATCCTGACTTCCAGTACTAGTGCAGGGGATGCCTTTGCATGTGGTGCAATTAAGTTGGTGTTGAATGCTTTTTTTATGTTATATGGATTCCCATTAAGAGAGCGATGAATTTTTTATTTTTTATTTTTTGCTAATCTAGCTAACACTCATTTAGAAGCCCATCCAAACGAAATTTATGGCCTTATTTTTAAAAATAGATGTTGATTTACTTTCGCACCAATCTGGTTGCCACATTGACCAGCTTGAAATAAAGAATTTCCCTCATTTTTGTCGAAAAAAAATCTTTCTAGTAATCCAACGACTAATGGAGGAAACTGTTTCTTCTTCCCTTTTTGACGAAGGAATGTGCGGATTGATACTGGAACCTCCATGCTTTAAAATCGATTCTCTAAGTCAGGTACAGATACTTTCAATACTACTCCATTCTCTTTAGACAGTGCATTTCAACGAGCGCATCTTAGAAAGTAACTAAACTATTTTGATTTTTCCTAAACAAGACGGAGTTGAAGGGAACTACTTTTTACTCCGCCTGCAAGCGTGTAGGACTTAATGCGCTAATGTCATTTTAGTAGTTCTTAATTAAACAAGGATGCGTTTCAGTGGGGTCGCTATAAGACAAACGTATTCGGGTAATTGTAGAGAAAATAGGAGGCGTAAACTTCCGCCAAAAGACTTCAGATAATTTGATATGAATCCCAGGAATGTTGTTGGAAAGCAGCATTAAAGCCAAAAATAGGTCTAATTATTAGTCTATAAAATCGATTCCTAAGTAATAATAATAATGTAATTGCATTACAGCATCAATTGGTGTAAATTACAGCAGGAAACCGGATCGTAAAAACCCCAAAAACAAACTATAATGGTTATTTTAACACGAATCGGCTTTTACTATGACAAACGTTCTTTTTGACTGAAGCTGTTCCTTTGACAAGTGTACCTGCAAATGCCTTGTTTTTTTCTTGTCAGAGTTGCTGTTTGCAATGGCCGCGTGCATGCCGCTTTGTAGCTATGGAGAAAGCAATCAGATCCGCGCGTTATCTCAACAAATCCATTAGGTGACTCTCAACTCAATCCCCGGCAGTAAAAACGCAGCGGGTCCGATGTAAAACGCATCTTCTCTCTACGAAAATGCCGCTTATCGGTCATCTTTACTGCTGCCTAGATTCCCACACATATCCCAAATCACCCGAAGCGACATCCGTTTGGTGAAAGCGCACGATGACTTCCAGAGATAACAAGAGGCGTTTGCACGGGAATCGCCCGGTGGAGGCTGTATAAATAGAGGCTGCTGAGGATGAATGTTGTGTGAATTTGAACAACATGAGATCGTCTCTCCAGCTCGGCGTCCTGCTCTGCTGCCTGCTGTGCGCCGCAGACCTGCGGGCCGAGGAGAGCAGGAACTCCATGCGGCTTTGCGGCCGGGCTCTCGTGCGAGCCTTGGTGTTCACCTGCGGAGGGTCCAGGTGGAGAAGACAACTGGAGGAGGAGGAGGAGAAGGGGTTTCTGCCAGACGGTCAGTGCTGGTTGGCTCGATAAACGGCCATCGGTAACGTTGATGTCTTCGTGCAAATCTGACTCCTTTCTGTGTCACGGCAGACTTCTGGGAAGTCAACGGAGAAGAGTCACACTTCGTGAAGACAGGAGAGCGTCCAGGGATGGACCAGGGTCATCGCAGGGACCAGGACCAGGCCTTGATTACGACGTGCTGTCAACAAGGCTGCCGAAGAAACGAGCTGTCCATGCTGTGCTAGAGGGAAAACTCATCTGTCACATACAGTCCTTCTGTGTTTAAATGTTTCAGTCACAAATGTATCCACAATGCTGTGATTTACCATGTAGGCGCGAATAAAAGGCATCATGAATGTTTGTCCAAATTACTCGTTTAATGATTAATTTGTTCACAAAGAGGAAAGTCCGTATGTGCAGGACATGAAAGTAGTCTGAGAACGGAGCCCCAAAGTGTACTTGTTTGCCAGGTTTGTGATTGTTGTGGATTGTTCTGTGGTCGCTTGGAACAGTAATAAAGATTCTACTCATTTTTCAAGTCTATCAATTAGTATGTTGAGGACAACTTTGTCAAACACAGCACTGAAATCAAGGTATTCCAAGTTTTAGACTCATCAACCTAAAGCAGCCTCTGTGTTGTGATGGAGTCTAAAGCCTGAATGAAAAGCACTAAAGCAGTTATCCTTATCATGAGGTACATTTGATCATAAACTGTCTTTTTTTCATACTCTTTGAACAGGTGTACTGGACGCGGGTCTGTATTTGCTGATTTTTGGTGCGGATCTATAAGGTTTCTCCCAGAAAACTTGCTAAGTAAGGTGGATGCAGGGGCGCTTGGCGGTCGGTCATTCATCCACCGGCCCGCCGTGGTTTTGAGTTAAAAAATGTTTAACGTTGACAGGAAATTTTAAAATATAACTTGAAAATTGTGTGTTATTGGAAGATTAATATCTGCACATCAACTATAAAGTCTGTAAAAAAAGCAAATATAAAAATTAAAAAAAAAACAAATAACCAATGCTAAACCTGGTGGGGGCACAAGTAAAGCCTGGTGGGCCCGTCAGGCTTACAATACACTGGGGGAGACTTTCTTTAAAAGTTCTTTGATTGCTACATTTTTAAGGGAATGCTGCCTGACTATCATCTGCCATAACACAACTACATAAATCATAGTTGTTGTTTTTTTTTAAGTTTGAGAAAGTATTTCAGTTATTAGTAAAACTCCAGTTAGCGTCATGATAAAACTGAAGATTTTTTTCCCCCCATTCACAAAAGTTTTATACTCCCAGTTCTGCTTCCCAACACTACAATACAAGCGATGGGAATTTGAAGATTTTACAACGGATATCTGAAAATGTTTGTTTCAGGATTCATTAAGAGTCGTCCTCCAGAGTTTGGCGCCATCATAGCAACCGCTAAGCAGGGGAAAGGACTTCCACCTTAGGCTTTGATTTGAGTGAGAGCTTTTACCGCTCCAAACAACTGTGAGGGAAAACACTCATAAAGCCTGTTTGGTTTGGACTTTATGGCCATCGTTTCCAATTTAAGACGCCGGGCAGAAGGTTGTACATCCTGTGTATGCCATTATATCATAAATGAGCTGTTAAGTCAGCTTACCTAATTTTCATGATGTAAAATGATGGAAAAGGCCCTTAGCTAGCTGATCAATAGGCACACCTAACAGTTACATGAGATGGGTTTTTATACATCTCGACACATTTGCTTAAAACTCCTGAAGTAACACGAAGACGTCCTTCATCGGTTTTCTCTTCTTTATTACCAAGTAAAACAGATGTTACATTATATAGACTTTTTCTTATATTTACTTTTTAAAAGCTTTGGGTGTGAAATTTACATGAGATGTTTGCATATTCTGACTCTATCACATTAAAAACGTTACAGCCAAAAGGCAGAGAAAAGTCGAGGAAGAGGATCACATGATAACCGTTGTTTTTATCCATCAGTAAGGCAAAAGAAAAAAATTATATAAATATAGTTATGCAAATCCTTGTAACAGTATCCACAGCCTCTTAAACCCTTTCAGTTTGTCACAGTAAAGCTACAAAACTCAGTGTGCTTTGTAGGGAGTTTTTTTTTTTATTTTATTTTATTTTTTGGAAGAAGGATTTGGAGAAGTTTAAAGGACGGGCAGGTCATATGGATGCAGGTTCCTGATTAATGAGTCGATCTAAAGTTGATCAAATTTATGGGTTTATTCACAATTAATTGATAAGCGGCCATTTTCTTTAAAATCTGCGTTTTCTTCTGTACCAGAGGCTCCTCGTCTTTCCATTTTACCATGCCTCTTCCGATTCCAATGTATCATGTTACGCTGCTCCGGCATGAGGTATTGATATTGAGGTAAAACTCAATGAGCTTCTTGAATGTTTATGTTTCAAAACATAGCATAAAGTGCTTTTTGTTCATGCCACACCAGTTTATTTTTTACCATTTCTCGGAATACGGCTCCACTTAAGGATGATCAGCGGCGCCCTCTGCTGGATGGCGGCTGAACCACAACACTAAGCCGACAATGCTTATCGATTGGAACTCATTTTAATCTAATGAACCATTAATTCACAATAAATAAGACAATTAATGGTTTGCATCCTGTGGAGGTCATAAGACAATCGTCAAACTTCTCATGGATAAATGTTCAGTCTTATCTGAAAACTGAAACACTTTTGAGATTTTTAACTGAATTTCTTTGGAAAATTCTGTTCTCCATTATGTTTCAGTAACTTTACATATACACATTTTGTTTTGGTTTCTTGCAAAAAAACACACTGAGGTTTGTTGTGACGTCACAAAACAGGAGAATATGGGCGTGATTACTTTTACAAGGCACTGTAAAAAACTAGAAGAAAAATAAAATCAATTCTGCACACTCCACTGAAAAATACATTTTTTTCTTCTAAAGAATCAGATGGCTGCGACTGTTTATTAGGGTCATTGCAGATAGAAAAAAAGGAGTACATTTTCACTAAAAAATATCTGAAATTTTCTATCCCACAAAGAAAACATGGAAATTTCTGAGCTTGAAAAGTAAAACTGTTGGAAAAAAAAACTCTAAAATCTTTTAGATTAATCTCAGAAATCTTCTAGAAATTTTGTTTTGAAAATGTCTTGAGTTAAAAAAAAAAATCAAAAATGTTCCAAGAAACGAAAACATTTAGTGGGTTTACTCTTGCAAAATTTTTGCCTTTTAGAGCTCAGAATTTTTTTTTTCTTTCTTCTGGGAGATTTCTGATATCAACCTCAAAATTTCAACAGTTTTTTTTAGCAGAAATTTATGCTCCGTTTTTGCCCAACTGCAATGGCCCCGACACGTCGTCGCAAATATGTAACCCGGACCAAGTCGAGTAAACAAAGTGAATGTGATGTGCAAAACACGTTGCGCGACAAGATGCAGTGAAACTGGATTCTGTGCGCCGACCGAAAACAAACGGCATTAACATCGCATGGAAAACACCTCTAGGTATATCAATGACATGCCGGATTTATCGACAGTGAGTGTTCGAAGGTGCGTGGACAGCGAAACGTCCAGTGGAGACTTAAGAGAAAGCTAAAAGTCTCGTCCCAAAGCACACCTACACAGCAAACACACACACACACATCATGACCAGGATGAAGATGGACAAACTGGTATTGCTTCCATGGGAACGGTGGGGGACGAAAACACTTTGATGTGGCACCAATAGGAAACATCCAGAAGTAGCTTTTTTTTGTTTGTTGTTCTAAATTATTATTTCTGAACACAAACTTGCATAAAAAACACCAGATGAGGAGCGTGTCGTCAACTAAATGTATTCCGAGTGCTGACATCAACAAACTAAGGGACGACCACAGACACGTCCATATGTCCAGACAAATGTCCGAAACGGCTCTTATAGATATATATATATTTATATATATATGTACACTTTTTACACATAGGCTTTAAAATATTGCTATTAGAAAACGATAAATCGTGTATTTATGGTGGTGACAAAAGGAAGGAAATAATAAAACAGAGACTTAAATAGTGCCGTCCCCATTAGAAAAGACGTTCTACTGTTGACCGACGACACCCAGAACATCTCTAAAAACTCCCTATTAACGACCTCGAGGTCCTGGCCAACAAAAAGTGACCGTATAGGTTTTAGCAGCATCAAAGGCAACTTCCTACAGTCATCAACTCTGAAACGTCTTCAGCAACTTCTCCTCCTCGTCCACGTATGGCACTCGTATGCGCTCGCGTATCCCACAGCAAACATGTCGGACTTTGAGCCGTTTACTCCGACTGGCCCAGGGGGAGCCGCAACCCACCGAACGAACGAAATCCCCCATAAAACCGCCAAAACCTACTACCATGATTTGTTGCATGTATCAGTATGGCGCTACTTTATTTACAGTGCTAGCAACACTTACTGACATTCTCTGGAAAGATGTGTGGAGGAAAATCCCTTAAAGTAAATGCATCTTTCATTGCAAACACCAATTTTTTTATACATTTTTTTGATAAAACTAGCCATTAACTAACTGTTAAAACATTAACAAATATCTGTCTATGTATTTAATGAGTTCTACTTAAAATTAAATTAACCAGTGGTGGGCACGCTTCCATTTACATGCTAACATTTCCTTTAGCCTTTTTGCTAACTGTGAAAACTAAACTTGTTTGACATGTTAAACAAGTTAAGTCTTCGTTCGTTAACTGAACGAAGACCTCAGTTGTTGAGTCAACGACTGAATTCTTCAAGTAGTTAGACATTCATATTCATGCTCTTATTTTGAAGTCCCCTCTTCATGTTCTCTTTTATTATGTAAAGAAACTTTACTGAATAGGTGGCAAGTCTACAAAAAACCAAACAATATACAGAACAATACATAACATGTGTCATTAGCACATGGTGTATGAACATGGCTGAAATTAGCGCTTAGCATTAGCTTCCACACATCACCGTTAGCTTTAGTGGACCTAATGTTTATGATTAAAGCTTTGGGATTAGGGTGGCCACCGCTAGCTTTTTAACTAGTGTTGCTAACCTTTTGGCTAGTGGTGTGCTAACAAAGATAAAGATGTTTTTCTCCTTCTCTGTGTTACAAAGGAAGACTAAGTGCTGTTACTTTTTTTTTTTTTTAAAAAAAAGGAAGTTGTCGATCAGAGGAACCAAGTACAATATTGATTCATTTTTAGACTTTTTACACATCTTTACCAGGGGTGCCAACAGAGCTCCGTAATCCACGAATGTAGCTAGCGCTATAAGTCTGTGCTGGTCCTGAACACAACCAAAGATTTTGTTTTATAGAATTTTGAAGAGGAGTGATTCATTCTCATGGTTTTGCATTTAAAATCAAATCACTATTTGATCCTCTAAGTCAAAACACCAGGAGATGAAAAGTCTGACGCTTTCAGGAAGTCCGACGCAGTGAGGGAAAAAAAAGCCATTTTACCAAATTCTAGAATTATGAAAAGCAAAAATCCCCAAACATTCCTACCAATTGGTGTTTTGATTCATAAAAACTTTTTTTATATAGTTTTGTCACATTCCATCAAACTTCACTGTAATGTTTTATAATTTTAAACGACAGATCGAAACAAAGCGCAGCATGCTCAAAACTACGGGGAAAACTTGGCAGCTGCAGGCCTTCAGTGATATAACTTTGGAAAAAAATGACAAAGAACCAGCGAATGTTTTTAAATATAGCTGTGCTAACTAATGCAGGTCTCAGCAGTTGTTTTTTTTTGTGCCGCAATTACATTGAATTCCCAAAACAGAATTACCCTAAAAGGATAATTTACATTTATATGAATTACTCTTATACTGACGTTTTCTTTGCACCGTTTTCCACAGAGGAAAATTTATCAGTTTTTTTTCTTTAGTTTAATCACCAAAAATAAAAAAAAAACATTAATCAAATTACCAATAGCAGATGTTCAGGAAAAAATATGTCGTCTTTTCCACAGGTCTTGTTACATTAGCAGCTCTAAGCCAGTTTTATTTAGCTGCTCTTTGGATTGCAAAGGGTGCAGATCCCCGTTTTAAAATGTTCAACTGAATCTGAGTGGCTTGGTTAACGACAAATATGTCTGACTTTACATGTGCAGAGTTGGTAGACGGTTGTAGACGCAATTGCAGCAAAAAATTGATTTTCTTTCTTGAGTCTTCACTCACTGAGGTGGATTTTATTTCATATTTTTATCCGCTAAGCAACTGAAAACCATCCAGTTCGCAGTCAGGCTCTACTTCGTGTTGGAATGTTGTATCAAATCCCAAATCAATCAAAATCAAACTGAAGTTTGGGTTTTAACGACAGACCACAAAAAACAGCAAAAGGAATATTTTTGCAAGGCATGGCAAATTTTATATCCTCATCAGTCGCCTCAAAATGCTAATTAGCGTAGTTTTCATTTCGAAGCGGCTTAAAAACAGAGGGAACGGTTCTGATTGGATGAAAATACGGACTCTCACTCTGACTGTCTGATGGGAGGTGGCAGTGTCAACCAGATCTAGTTCCCCCCCTTTCAGATTGTTCTAGACTTTATACAATCATCTCCCATCACCTCTCACAGTGCATCTACAGCAATGACCAACTGAAGAACAAATAACTAAATAAATAAGGCTGGATCACTGAATGAGTTACAATTATTATTTTTTTGTTGTTGTCTTTTTCTTTACACCAAAACAACAAATACTTGACAGCTCATCGTCTTTAAATCCGTTCCAGGTGCACAAAGGATGATTTGTGTTAGCTTGCATAAACTGTGTTCTTGTAGCAGACCTCCACCGTTCACGCCGACGGCTTGCTGAGGAGAATTAGTCAAGAGCACTAAACGTGGGATGAATCCGTAGTCCTCACAGTCAAAAAGCCACATTTCCTCAGCGCTCTTCGTCGACAGCTTTCACTAGTTATCTGCCAAATACTTTCCTGTCCAAAAACAAACAAAAAAAAAGACAACAAACACATCAGGAGGATCGGGGATTAGGAGGATCTTGATGGATGCAAAAGGTTGGGAATTGAAAATGAACTCGGAGCCGACCTGCAGCGAATCTCTTCTTGACCAGAGACAGCCGGTAGCCGGTCCCAACGAGCTGGATGTCGCAGCCGGACAGCGTGCTTCCCTCGCTGGTGAACTGGACGGCCAGCTGGGACGGCTTACAGGGACCCTCCTCCATCTGGAACCGGCCCAATAGAGCCCCTACTCCTACACAATATGCACATGTCTGACTTTGCGTAATAGAGCAATGCAGTCATTGGAAAAAATATGCCATGTTGTTTATTCCTTTGAGGTTTCTAGGTTTGGACTTTGATCATTTTCTGGAGGCTTTCTCACTTTTCTATGGCGCTGCCTTTGTGCCACCAATACTGGCGAGCGGTGAATCAGGTGTGAGCGCATTGATCAATGTAAGCAAACAATAATTCGTGGTATTGGTCGTTTATAACTCGCACTCGATTATAAGATTTGCGTTTTGTTCTGACGTTTCTGCTCCTCATGTACGGAACACCAATGAGGCCAAAAAGGCGTGAAACGTCATCATGCATCTTTCATAAGCAAAACCAACTCCAAAGTACTGAACCACAGCAGCAGGAAATTACAGATTATTCTCATCCGATCGCTGTATTACTCGGATGAAAAAGAACAAATCACAGTCAGTAACCCAAACTGCACCAGGAAGTGACAGAAATGACAAAACAAAGATGAAAGATTTGAGACAAAAATACAAGAAAACAGAACACACTTGAATTTTGTAGTTTGATAATATGCAGTAAAGCAAATAAAAATAAGCTCACTTTGTGTATTTCAGGTAACATTTGTACATTTCTTAAGCTGCTGTATGATGTGATCCTCCACTCAACTCACTGAAGGACGACATGAATTTGAATTTTGCGAGAAATGCTACAGAAAAAGTTCAGATCCCGTCAGTATTTTTTTTCCAATGACTGTATTTTTAGGGAAAGATAAAGTGATTTTCAACCAAAAAACAAACAAACAAAAAAACCCAAAACAAAACAAAACAAAACAACACTTGCCTCCATTTTCAGATCTTTGAGACAGGCTTTGGATTTTCCACTGAATCGTTTGCTGCTCTGGATTCCTGAATGAGAGAGAGAACGACATAAAATATGTCATGTTTAATAGACTTGCGGATTAACCTGCATATTTTCCTCTTCATACACTGGACAATAAGAAGGAAGGTTAGGTGGCAAAGATGGCAGAAGCCCATTACTCACAGCATGGCTCAACAATATGGTTCAAAAATTAAACCTGCAATTTTTTCACACCGGAAAACATTTTCAAAAAGTGTCGTTTATGTCAGTCATCTCTTCTGTGAGTTGTATGACTATCAGGGCCAGGCTACCAGAATTTTTGTTCAAATTTAAAAAAAATTGTCATCAGAAAAAGGATAAAATTTTAACAGACAAAAAATGCAAAAATGACAGGAAAAAAGGTTAATTTAATTTAAAAAAAAGCTTGGAAACTTCCCTTTTTGTCTTTTTTTTTTTCATGTTGGAGTTTTCATAAAATTACCACTTTGTAACAACTGCATCCCTGTAACTTTACGACTGTAATCTCACAATTGAAAACAGGAAAGCATCTCAGCCTGGCTCCTATCTTCAGACTGAGAGCTGCCCAGAATTCAAAGTTGAAACAGAATAGAAAATGGCCGCCTCGGGCGTCGCTTTGAATTATGAAAACCAAAGGAGTTCATTATTGAGAAAGGTCCAAATCTTCAAAAACAAAAAATTAAATGAACCAATAAAACTGACTTATCATCTGAGCCTAATTCGTAGACAGGATGTGGTTTCGGGGTTCAGAGGTGACCTTTACCATGTGGCGGGGGGGATCATGGTGTGCAGCCGGGTTACAGCTCCGTTCACCGGAACCACAAAGTGGATGTTGTGTAGCGGCACCGGGGCGGCCATGGCCTCCGCGTTGTATTTGTAATCTATTCGCAGGTCGGTGTTGACGGAATCCCCCCGCCAGCTCACGGCCAGGTTCAGAGGAGTGGACTGGATCCCCTCTGCTGACACCTGATGGGAAAACACCAAGAGGAAAATGTGAACTAGAGTTAATGTCTTCAATAAGAGGAATAATGTTAGAGAGATTAAAAAAGAAAAAAAAAAAAAAGGCAGACTGTACTTGGTATTTGATCATATCCACATTGTAGTATGTCGCCTGAGGCTTCTGTTCTGCCACTTTCTTCAGATGGGTAATCAGGTTTGGCATGTTTACCCAGAACTCCTTGATGTCGACACCGTCTGGAGCTGTATCGCTGCAGAGCAACAAGAGCAATGTTCTTGAACAATGTTCCGCTCAGGCATAAAAAGGATCATAAAAGGATAATTCATGCGCACAATTTATTCCTGTCCACGTCCGAGATGGTCGGCTGCAGCGCTAACGCTTAACCACAAGCTTCAATGAGTTTCACTCGGATTTTATGTAATAGGCCCACACAAAGTAGTGCTTAATTAGCTGTGTTTCATTACAAATGTGTGCAAAACTTCAATCGAGATTGCACTAATTTCGAAAAAAACAAAAACCAACACAATTTCACAATTGCAGTGTTTACATTAAGCAAGAAACGCGTTTAAAACCACGTGTGAATCAGTTTGTTCAGTCGATACGCCATTGAAAAACCCAGCTGCGCCGCAAGTGTGTCGTCTTCTTCATGGTTTCTGCCGGTGGCAACTTGCTGATCGTGTGACTTGTGTGATGTGAAAAAAGTGTTTTGCGAAACAAATCAATTTAGATACGACCAGAAAATCCCCCCCCCGACTTATCCTGGAACAAAAACGTTTTATCGAAAAACAAGACTTGTTTTTCAAAACGCTTTTGTTTCCATTAAGCGAAATTATTTTCTAAGAGTCAAAATACACAATAACATAGTCAGTGGAAATGCAGCTACTGTGAATGCATCACTTTGTTTTACAAACAAAAATCTTAAAAGTGTGGCGTGTGTACGCATTTCATCCGGTTGAAACAAGGTGTTTTAAGTTCTGCCTCCACTATTATTGTCCATTCTTTGTTTTTCAGTTCAGTTATCAGGTTGTCCAACAGATTCTCTTAATTTTAGATCCGGACTTTGACTTTGACCAATTCAGTTCTTACTTTGGTTCTGGTTCTGCTCTGCCTCTCCAGAACCAGGACCAAATATGCACCACTGATCTGGAACAAAAACCCCAGGAGTAAGCAATAATAATCAAACTAAAAGATTCATAACACCTTTGCACAGAAATGTAGCCCCAAATATTAGCATTAACTGGATTTCATGGCCCAGAAAAAAAAGGCAACTTTGCTGTGTCGAAGCTCACCAGCAGAGCAGCTGTGGATTGGGCAGGACTTGCTCCAGGCGGCTGTAGTTGCTGATGACGAAGGTGAGGACGGGTTGAGTCGGGTGGCAAGCGAAGTGCCGGGTTATACCTGCGGGGAAGGAGAGGACCATCTCCCCGGTGATCTTCACCGCACATCTGCAGCAGACGGAGAAGGCAACACTTCCAAGACACGCAAACCGAACTGTGAAATATCAGTCATACTGAGAGAACTCTTTTTTTTTTATATATTTTTTTTTGCTTACTTGCTGGGGTCAGCGCCTTTGAAATAAGCATTGATGGTTTCGGTGAATGCAGCAGCGACCGGCAGGGTATCCTGGGGCCCCATGGTGAGCGGGCTGGGCCCTCTAGAGCAGCCTGGTTAGGACATAAAACCAAAAGATGACCGTAAGAAATCTCCTAATGCAGTGTTTGCTGCCACAAATCTATAAAAGGGAGCAACAAAAGATAACAGGTGAAGCTCAAACCAAACTATCCACAGTGTTGCTCAGACGTTCACATGCACTCATCATGATTCATCTGGGATTTTAATAATCGATGGGAACATTTTTTAAAGGTATTTAACAAACAGTTTTAGTAGTTTTAAACATTTCTCTGGAGTGAGATTTTGGTAATCTTCACTCTAACTATATGTGTAGGCTTAACTTTATCCATTCAACAGTAATATTCAGCTTTAGAAGGGAAGCCGATCAACAATTTTTTAAAAGCCTGATCGGCCCATTCCAATTTTGGCTGACACAATTTACGTACTTTTTGTCTGAAAAGTCACAAAGTATTAAAATGAAGTCACAAAGTCAGTAACAGGCTGACTATTGTTAATCTGCAGATGTGAACAGCCAGTTCTAGATTTGGAAACTCCCCGAAGTTACTTTCTTGTCACCGGGGCTGAAGCAATTAATCAGATTAATCGCGATGAATCGATTGTTTAAATAATCGTCAACTAATTTAGTAATCGATTAATCGTTGACTGGATTAATCGTCAGAATGAATCAATAACTAAAATAATTGTCACTAGAAGTAAGAGTCACGCTACCATTGAAAAACAAGAAAAGAAGAGCAGTTGAAACAAATTATTAAAAGCCACAAATTAGTTTGAAATTCATGATGAGCGTTGGTGAACTTGGGACCAGCACTGCACATCCGTACAACTCAGGGATCTGGGTGAGTAGGAGATGGGATGGGCAGCAAGAGCATGAAGAAGAGCTTTCTTCATGTTCATGTTCTGGTGCTGCTGCAGCGCCCCGGAGCGACTCACCTTCAAAAGCTAAATAAAACCTGCCGTGGTCAAACCAAACCAGAGGCTGCGAGGCCTCTGGGTGGGGCAGAGACATGAGGAGGAGAGAGTCATGAGACGGACAAGACAGTCAGGCAAGGACATGACGACAAGAGGCAAGACGGCATGTGGACGTGGCGAGACGCGCGTGGCAGCCTGCGTACCTGCGGTGGGCATGCTGAGGTCCCGACCCAAGGTGGGAGTGGACGCCGTGCTGTGAGAGGTGACGGAGGACAGAGAGGAGGAGCTCTCGGCACGGGCCAGGGGGGCAAAAGGCGGAGGGCTTCCTGAAACCGGAGGGCTGAAAGGCCGACTCTGAGAAAGAGAATGGAGCTCCGTTCGGCCTCAACCCTGAAAACTGAGAGATTTTATCCTGAAGCTGGGAGTTTTTCTACGCACCAGGTCTGCGATTGGTTTTCCCGGGGGTAGCTTCGGTCGCGAGGACGGTCGGGGAGGAGGAGGCGGAGGCACTGGACTCCCCCGGGACTGAGGCGTGGCAGGGCGGGCTGGAGACGAGGGGCCTGCAGGGAGCACCAGAGTCTGGGTGACACTTTATTTCATGTCAGTCAAAAATCAAGCGATCCAAGGTTTACAAACTTGTAAATCTACAGAAATGCAAACTCATAAGGAAAACAGACAAGAAAGTAGTTTTGATTTTAATGACACTATTGTTATTGACATTGGAACATGTTTACTGTAACTAACTGTGTCTTGCTGTCAATACACTCTTAACAGATCGTTGAAGGAGTTTTATCCTGGTATCATGTGAAATCGTCATTAATAATAATGTTATTTCGTCATCAAAAACATACCTGAAGTGTTGCTTTGATTCTTTCATGTATATTAGAGAAATCCTTTAATCTCCCATGGCAACCATTCAGTTGTGCAAAACACCTGGGTGGACTTTGCCCCGCCTTCAAGGCTCAGCACCTCCTCTGAGCTGCAACTTCCAAGTTTCCACCCTCACAAAGGAGCTCTCAACCACAACGCCACTACTGAGCTCCTTCAGACTAGCCAGCAGCAATTAGCAAACATCTGATGGAGCTGCACATCTACTGGGCTCATTCTAGGAGCTACTTTTTAGAGCTATGCTGGTAAAAAACTTTGTTAAAATTTTAATAGAGGAGCCATGTTGTGATGACTTCCTGAAAGCGGAGCTTCAGAAATAGGAGGAGTTTTTAAAGAGACAGAGACCCAATTTCAAGGCATTAAATTACAGTCATATTTCTTCAAATGTGACTTCATATTTGAAGTCATATATTTCTTCAAATATGACTTTGAAGAAATATGACCTTGTAAATTTGACTATGACTTTATAGTGCTATAAAGTAGCACTATGTGCCTGGAAAACACATAATAATGCCCCTATATACAATCTGATGCCAAAATTTAAAATCTGTGTAAATCAACACCAAGTACATTGATGTTGCTAATACTTAAACATACTTTATTTACTGATCATCATCATTGGTTGACCGGAACAAAAGCAGGAGTTCCTGCATTTGGATGGACTAAAGCCTGAGCGTTAATACAGCGCCCACAGAGAAAAACATCAACCTCGTCCACTCAAAAGTTCAACCCTGAGATCCTAAATATTTACAAAGTAACAGTCCATGTATGATTTTGATGAGAGACCAACATTAAACAATCTTGTAAGAGTTAAAAAGGTCAACTTGGCACAACACTGCCCCTTTAAATTCACCTGAAGGTGGGCTTCATATTTACAAAGAGAGCAGAACACTCACTGCTGCCAGAATAGGGCCCAGGGGAAGACATGATGGACCGGTACGCAGATAGAGGAAGAGGAGGCGGCGTTCCCCTAAAGCTGGGTGTCAACTCTCTGGGAGAGCCTGTCACTTCTGGAACTTCATCTCTCTGGTACGCTCCCTCTGGAGTCTTCTTTCCTCCCAGAGTCCCGTAGACTAAAGGAGACGTGACCGCCGCCCGCGGGGACCTCCGCTCTGCCGGCAGAGGAGGAACGGGGCTGATGGGCACAGGGGCGCAGGCGTATCCTGCGAACTGCAGAACCTCCTCGTCGACTCCTTCTTCTTCGAGGAAAGCAGGAGGAGACTCGGTAGGAGAGAAGTCAGGCGGTAAGGGGGGAGCTGGCTCATCTGGGGGCGGAGGGCCGAGAACAATGGAGGGGGGTGAGTCTAGCGGCGTGAAAGGAGGGGAGGAGCCAGGGGGAAAGCATGGTGGAGAAGGAGGGGGCTCGTTCGGGGGCGGTCCAGGTGAGAGGCCGGGCGTGGAAGGCGTGGAGGTGGGCGTGTCTGGGGGAGGAGAGTCCGGCGGTGGCGGGGGAGCTGGCTCGTCAGGGGGTGGCGGTCGATCGTCCGTGAACGTGACCCATCTGGGAGATGGTGCGTCCTCCCTCGTTCTGGTGCTGTCAGCGGGGCCGAACACGTCATCCAGGTCGGGGCCCGGTGAACCCCGGTATGAGGCCGGTGACAGGATGTTCAGGTAGATGGGGGCGGAGCTGCGTGCCGCCCTACCATTGGGCAGATCAGCTGTAAGAATGAGTTGGAACAGTAGCCGTTAAATCACAGGGCGAGACCAACTTCCAACGATGAATTCAGAAGGAAATTTACCTGCTAAGTCTGACGGAAAGCCATACCGACCTCTGGAAGGGAAGTTTTTCGGAGGAAGCGGTGGAGGAGCTGCAAGAGAGACAGTTCAGCATCACCCAACACACACACACTAGATCAGTTGGATTTACTGGGACAACAAAGGCCCGCCTACTCACCTCCTGTTGGAAAACTTCGGCTCAGCTGGGATTCTGAACACGGTCTGGGTTCTCCCCATGCATCGCTACGGATTACTGACAGTGCCGCAACAAATAAGAAGACAGATTTGAGCAGGAAACGCAACATATCGGAAGTTATGTCTAATTAGAGGAAGACAGACCGTCATATCTGGCATATCTGCTGTCTGAAGGAAGCCTGAACAAAGCAGGAACGTTCTGCGGCGCAGAGGCGCTGCAAGAGAAAACACATTCAAAACAGTGCCAGTGCTCATCTCAGCCAACATAGTTCCAGTTCTGGGTGATCTAGTCAGAAATGATCATCTTGAGGTATGTCAGTTTGGACTTTACATCAAACATGTGTTCTTCTGACTGAGTACTGCTGAACTATGTTCTCAGCAATAAAATTTATGAGATTATGTACTTTTAAGTACTTCCATGGAACTTTCTCTGAACTTATCTGGTACTTTCTTTGAAATTGCATTCAGCTAGCTAGCTATAGCTAGCTATCTAAACTGGATCACTGGTTAGTTTAATAACTACATAGATATCTAGACAGCTACATAACTTGATAGCTAGATAGTTTCATGAATTCTTAGTAGAACTACAAGACGATGGTAACTTTTAGAAAAGGTGCATGAAAGTTTCAGAAGTAGTAAAAGTTCTAGAAAAGATCCATAAAGACTACATGATAGCTCTGGGTAAGCGTCTGGTCACAAGTCACTTCATTATACAGCCAAGTTGCACCTGGTAAGTTCCAGAATGTTTCACAAAAACTTTCATGAATCAAATCAATCGAAAAAGCCCTTCATTGTTCAAAAGTTCAAGTTTTTATTGTGTAAATACAACGAACGGTATCTGGAAGCTCAAATGATTTTCCAGACTAAAACTCCAAACCTCTCCAGACTTGGAAAACAATAAAAAGTCAACTCAAGACTTGTCCAGACTTTTGAAGATCATGTAGGAATATTATCTAGAAATACCAGGGCGTTGATGAAAATATTCACTTGAGAGCTGTTTACCGGATCACAGACCTTGGCATCTCAGATGCATAACTTGGGGTAGAGCGCCTGGGTCGGGCAATCTCTTCACCTATGACAATAACAACCATTTAACTAACAAAATAAGAAATTGATAAGATTAACAGAGTGACCAACATAAAGTGTAATGACACACGCTGCTTTACAAAAGTTTTTTTTTTTTTTTTACATTTCGTAACTTAAAATTGCTGAGAGATTATTCTGATAGATGTTCTTTATCTGTTGTTACTAAGGTTGAGTTGTTTTGCAAACAATTGTGGCTCTTTCAGATTAAAGTTAAAGGGGTTGAGTTGAAATGCAAGAAACATTTTAAAATTAGAAAAAAAATATCGCTTTTCTACAGCTTCCCAATTATATCTCTCACAAAATATTGATAAATTGCATTGAAGATTGCGTTTTTAAACTTTTTCCAGTAGGTTATACATTTTTGCAAGGCATTAAAGGTCAAAACAATGGCCTAATTTGGTAAATAAATAAATAACAAACGTAATAATACATAACAATAATGACGCAAGAAAATGAATGTACTCACATGAGAGGTTTCTTTTCATCATCCCCTGCAGAATGGAAAAGCACAGAACAGATGTCAGCAATACAAATCTTCTATAGTGTGTTCTAATGAGGTTATTAAAGAAACAAAAAGAATATTTCTACAGTAATGTAGAATCGCTCAGTCTTGCACTGAATATAATTATATTTCTTATACTCTATTTGAATTTGAAAACATCAGCTTTATTCACTACATTGTTAACTTTTAGAATGCTTTTTGTTCTAAACGATCAGTGAAAATACTTGTCCATTTGTGTAATCTGTGCACGTTCACAACTTAAAAGGAGGTTGTCTTTCAGGCCTCCAACCAGCAGGTGGAGCCAAAGAAACTCACCGGACTGCGTCTCTGAGACCAGCAAAAAGGAAGAGAGAACAGACCTGGGTCAGAGAGTGAGTGACAAATCAGTCATTGGGACAACAACTAAAACTGGACACAACACATCTTTACTTCAACCGCAAAGCTGCCATAATGCAATACTTTTGCCAACGTCGAATCACGCTGCGACGGCCCACTTGGCATGCAGAAGCTGAACTGAGACCAGTTCACAGCTTAGTGTGTGTTCTTTTCTTACTTTGCATTATGTAACAAACACATGCTTTGCCAGAAAGGTTGAAGTAAAGTTTAAGTAAAAACAAAAAAACAACAAGTGGTGGGTTTTAGTGCTAAAAAGGGGTATGTTAAAACAGAATCTACATGCAAAAACAGAGAGACAATGACATTCCACCACAGTCCTTTGTGATGGTGGGGCATTTGAAGGAAAAAAAAAACACAAGGAGCTTACCGGACTTCTCCTCTACAATGGAAAGAAGAGAGTTGACAGAAAGGATGAACACGATGAGACCCTAGAATAAACGTCATAAGGTAGAACTCTGTCAGTGTCAGCTCACCAGGGAAGGAGAGAGTGCCAGTCCTCCCACGGAGGCTTTCAGCTCGTCCATCGATGGGGGGACACACTGCGCGCTGTCCGCCACCAGCGGCTTGATCCGGATTTTGAACTTTTTCTTGCTGTCCTCATCGTCGTCCGAGTCGCTGGAGGAGAAGAAGTGCTTTTCTTTGGAAGCTGGTGAACGCTTGTCAAGGGCAAAGTGTGATGAATTTGATCTGAAACTGCTCTCACTGTCTGTTTGTCAGCCGAGAAAGTCCGGTTTGTTTGGTGAGGTGTGAATGCGCAATCGAAATCTGACTCGGATCCAAAAGGCAAACTCTGGTCCGCCTAAAAATGCAAATCTCGGTTCGATTCAGTTGAAGGTAGCTCTGCTGTGGTTTGAATGCAGATGTGAATTACAAGCAGACAACCAAAACAAACAGGAGATAGCATTAATGGGAGAAATCCTACAACCACTGACATCTAACACTCCCACTTTTGTTTACATTTTGGTACGAAAGAAGTTGTGCTCATATCGTCTTCTTCATCTTCATCTCTCTTCCTTTACCTCCACAGGCCAGCACCAGCCTGTGGTTTGGATCTTTTGACACAGTGCATGTGTGAAAGCAAACATCCCCAGCTGAAAATGTAGCAAATGTTGCAATTTTGGTCCCAGATCAAACTGAGTCATCTGGACTATCAGGTGTGAAAACACCCTCATCAAAAACAGGGAAGAACAGAAGACGTACCATGACAAGGTCTCAAAAGACCAGTCTGTGTACACCTTCAGTGTAAGACTACAATGAAGGTGAATTAGTCTTCAAGTATTCTAGATGATTTAAAAGCTTCCTGAAATCTGCTGAAACCGCTGAATGTCATAATAGCTGAGTGGGTGAAGTAGAACGTTGAAGGAGTGACTAAAGACTTGCAGAATGATCACAGCGTTCGCCTGCCTTAATGCTCCTTTGTCTCTTTATCAACTGCAGAGACAAACATACGGGGGTGGCGGGGTGGGAACGACCATCGATTGGTCTCGTTTGATGCTAAAAGGCACTCAGCTGAAGAGTGACTCCACTAAACAAGTCAATAGCGTCGCAAGCGACATGTTCCGAGAGCGCCGCTTCCTCGTCTCGCTGAAAGGATATCATCCTCTCCCTCACCGGGCCGCAGGCTGAAACCCTCCTCGTCGACGTCAGGTGAGGCCTGAGAGAGAGAGAGAGAGAGAGAGAGCGAGAACGGAGCGGTAAAGGCAGAGTAGCTATTGCAAACGGAGCTTCGGCTTCACGGATGTCTTGCCCGAGACGTTTGGCTCGCTGGCCGAGCGCCACGACATTTAGCCGTAACTCTCTTCAAACAGCGAATTTAAAAGCCCGACTTACAAAACAGGAACGGCGGGACCATTTCATCCCAGAGCTACAGAGTGTCGGCTTGCTTCAGAATGCGCAAACAGCAGAGCGTTCTGGGTAGACAAACAAAGAGTTTACTGCGGAGACTTACATATCTGTCCCAGTCGATTTCCCCGCAGAAACCGTTAGGAGCTCCGTTGGCCTTTTTCTGAAACAAAAGCAATGTTGGTCATTTAAAAGCTACTCTGGAGGTGAATGGGAAACAGGTGAATCTTAGAGATGAGACGAAGATGGACATGTTGAGTCAGCATCAGGTTTGAAAGTAAATGAATGGAGACATTCAACAATAAGCAATACGCATATTTTTTCCATAATTCTTCTTCCATTTTGGCTTAATCTCTGTTTTACAAATAAAGAATGCAAGACTCTGACTTTTTAATTTTTTTTTAGTTTATGGCCACAAACACAGGAAGCATTCTTTGTACCTACTTTTCCTTTCTTTCCGCTTTCGCCTCCCTCTTTGTCAGGTGAGCTCCTGTTTAAAATATAACAGATAAGTTACATTGGAGACAAACATTCAAACCTGCTAAATAGAATAGAATAGAATTCAACTTTATTGTCATTGCACTGTCACATGTACAAAGCAACGAAATGTAGTTTGCAACGAGTGCTTTGTAAATATGGAAGGGCATGGTGTGGTATGGGACAACATTGTGGCAAAATGTTCCTCACGTTGCAAAAATATTTACTCTGAAATATTGTCTTGTTTGTGTATTAGCACATTGAAATCTAGCAAACGCTTTCTGTACCAGGATGTTGTCTAAAAAGTTCCTGTTTGTCATTTCTGCTTTGTTGCCTCAGTTATTAGGCTGTTTTTAGAGAGTGGCCCTGCAGCATAAATATGGAGGCATCAGAGCGAACTCACGTTGCATCTGTGTCCTTGTCTTTCTTCCGTAAGCCCAGGGCTTTCCTGGTTCGTTTTTTCAGTCCTGATGCAGGAAATGGAGAGGAATGTCATCATAAATATTATTTACAGCTTGAGTGCCTTATATTCAGTCAATTGCCTTGTCAATAAAAGCTATTTGACAGCAAATAAACAGGATTAACAGTGTAATAAGCCTTGGAGGAATGTCATTTTCCAGAAAAAACAGAAGAAATGCACAGTTGGCAGTATGTCTGTTTAAATGAAGATATCGATTTGGAACAAACTCTTCGCTATGTGAAGAAAGCTGCAGCACAGACTGAAATGGTGATGGTCCAATTCCACCCCCTTATTTCCAACATAAAACAGAAAGACAACTGATGCTAAGGTCAAGTGAGGCTTCACTAGAGGTGCTCAAGAAACGACAGAGGAGCAACGATGCAGAGCTAGATTTCCGTAGAACTCTTTAGCCAAACGTCTCAGTCACGATCCTTCAGAAACGAGCCGCCTCTGAGCGCTATCTGACCATTCACATAACTCCATGCTTAAAAAATAAAATAAAGGGCTGGCAATGCAGGATGTGACCGGAGGAGTCATGTGACATCGACGTCAACGCTATGCCTAAAATCTGCATGTGAAGACTCCCCATCCCAACAATGATGGATGAATTTATAGCAGCAATCCTGCTGTGGGTTCTCACCTTCTACCCAATCTGTTACATCAGAGATGTAACAGATTGGATATCTTCCTCACTAAAACCAGGAAGATAGAGCACATAACACCAGTTTTAAAGTCCCTCCACTGGCTCCCTGTAGCTCAAAGAATAGATTTTAAAATACTGTTGTTAGTTTACAAATCACTGAACGGTTTAGCACCACAATACATCAAAGATCTGCTGTTGTTGTATCAACCTTCCCGACCTCTCAGGTCTTCTGGTTCTGGTCTGCTCTGCATCCCCAGAACCAGAACCAAGAGAGGAGAAGCAGCTTTCAGCATTTATGCATCAAAAATTTGGAACAAACTTCCAGAAAACTGTAAAACAGCAGAAACCCTGACTTCCTTTAAATCTCAACTAAAAACACACCTGTTTAGAAATGTATTTGAAATGTAATAAGTAACAATGTATTGTTTATTCCATGATGCATGACTTTGTGTTCTTGTGTTTATGATGTAAAGCACTTTGAAATGCCTTGCTGCTGAAATGTGCTGTACAAATAAAATTTGATTTGATTTGATTTTGATTTGAGGGCTGACTTCTAGTACCTTTATTTAATTGGCCCTTTCAGAAAACACATGGAGACGGGAAAAAATTCAGTTGAAACTTGAGTGGGAATTGCTCCTTCACAGTTGCCCTGGAATGAACACTTTCACTTATTGGCTTTTAAATCAGTGGGTGACGGACAATGAATGACTTATTGTTTTTATTTTGTGGTTTTTTAATGATGTTATGGTCATTAGGTTGTACAGCGCTTTGGTCAGCCAAGTCTTATAAATAAAGTATGGTATGTCCTGATATGGTATGGTACTACATGGTATGACATGGTACAGGACAGTACAGTACAGTATGTTGCGTTATGGCAGTGGTTCTCAAAGTATGGAGCTTGCCCTCTAGAGGGGACGCAGGAAGCGGTATGGATGAATGAAAACAGTTTTTTTGTTGAATACACATCTATGCAGATCACTCTTTGTATTCCAGCAAGATTTGTTTTGGCAACCCGTTTATGAGGCTCGCATGAGGAGAAGCTCGTGAAACATTAGGAATCTATAAATACACTTGCGTGAAGGTCTCCAATATGCCAGTTTGGATGAGATTTAAGACACTTTCTTTACAGATTACATAATTGCTTTTTTTAATTTTGTATCATCTTGTCTCAGTATATTTTAGAGCTGATGCTTAATTTTATTGTAAAAATTGTTAATATCTGATTTTGTTTTATTGGCTTTTTTTTTATAGATGGACGTTCTGGGAATGATGAAATGCAATGCTTTAGGTTCACTTTGAGCTGAACAGCATAGACTAAACTGATTATTTTGTCAACAAATGACTTTATGTTAAATTCAAATGGCAACACTTCCTTCATTAACCTTTCATTTAATGCTGCTTTTGCTTTTTGCAGACACAGCCAAAACAAAAAGTACATTGAAACTTGACGTGTTAAGCAGTTTGCACTACTCTCTGTCTCGGATAAAAGAGAGCAAACCTCTGACTCACTCACATTCCTGTCTTCATGGAGGATTTGTTTTCATTATAAAAAGGGACAATTTAGTTTATATTTTCTGCATTAACTCATATGACCTTCATTTGAGTCTGGAGCTACTGGAGGCAGTAGAGTGTCAACCAGCAAGTGCTGCTGCCACAAGTACAACCTGTGTACTTCCTACACAGGTTGTTCACATTGTTTGGCTGATATAAAGAAAATGGGTTCTTTTTTTCACCCCTTACCGCTGCAATGAGAGGCTGTATTGACGGCACAAGTTTCCTGTCTGCCATGTGATTGCTCTTTGCACTCTGCTCAGATGAGCCGTGTATTGCAGAAAACAGAGACTCAAAGCAGCTGAAACACTCATCTTAAACATTTACAATGTTCAAAGCAAAGTGCTACGTTCTTACAGCAGTTTTTTAAGTTTTGGTCCCACATGATTTCAAGGAGCTGCTCTGAAATATACAATCAAAGAGTCCTATCAAAGCCGAGAGCAAACATCCTAGCGTTAGCCTACCACCTCAGTGCTAGTGCTCCGCATGAAAATATCGTCAGACCTTACTTATCTTTCAGATAATATAGTATTAAAGATACTTCTTTGTTTTACCAGCAGTGGATACATATCTCTACACAAAACAGAATATTTACAACCACAGCTCAGGATAGAAGAAAACTGTGCAGCTACCAAACCAACTACTGTTTCTTAGAGAAAAAATGAATCAGAGGTCATAACTATAGCATTCACTGTGCTTCTGGCACAGGCTGGAAAGACTTATGAATTAGATAGTCCTTTTATGACAAATAAAACCAGACAAGCTCCAAGTTTATTTCAGTAATACTGTGATACAGCTTCTCCGCATCAGCAAAGCCTGTCGTGAATGCTAGTGCTAGTTAGCATCTCCACAGACGACAGTGGAAAAACTCTTTTCCTGTATGATCTTTTTCTATTTCTACATTTACAGCACACATATTTCTACACAGCACACATATTTCTACAGCACATTTAGCAGCACATTCACAAGGATGACTGACAGGGCAAAGGCCCTCCTCCTGGCTCTGATTGGTTGTTTTTGGTTGGGAGCTGTGCATTTCTTCTGACGGCTGTTGTAGCTCAGGGAGGATGTGGAAGAGATTGATCTTTTCACAGATTATATGTTTGATGTTATTCAGTGAAGAAATGGTAAAAGCTAAATAACATGTAAAAAATATATTTCTTTAATAAAACTTTTACACACTGCAGCTTTAAGTCTGCAGTTCTAACTTGAAAAATTGCAGAAAAAGTTCAATACTCTTCCGGGACCCTGCAACAGTGATGAACTTGCAGATGTCTGTGTTGAGTGTGGATTCCCACATGACAAGTGAGCACATCATCATAGAAGGATGACTGCAGGCCTTTTGCTAATATTAGCCACCTTCCATCACCAGGCGGCTGGAAGTGCATGGCCAAACTCTGCATATGGCAAACCGGATTACATCCATCCATCAACTGATGTTGACACGGAAACCAGATAGCCTGAAACCAGAGCATCCTGTTTATCGGTTATCTACAAGGTGGACGTACCGTCTTAAAACATACAAAAGAAAACACATTAAACCAACATCACACTGCTGCACTCTCTGTAAACCTGTCACACACACACACAATGTCACACTCACGCACTGCTGCAGCAATGGTGCTAAACCGGTCATGCACATACCTCCTTCACTCCGCACAGCATGACAGATCACACCAACGGATTCACTAGCTTTAATGACCCAGCAGGACACGAGAGGGCAAGAGGGGGACGTGGCGAGAACTGCGAGAGGAAGAAGCGCTGCGCGGAACATTTACCTTGCATCATAGTCGCTGATTTTCATCCTACGTCGCCCTCCGGGGTGCACACGTGGACAGAAGAAGAAGAAAGCTCTAGGCGGCCGAAACGGAGCCTGGGCAGGGCATGGCTAATTGTGCACAGCTCATTCCACCTCCCTCCACCGCTGTGAAGCACGATGTTGATTTCTTCCACCCTCAAGAGGGCCGGACTCGCACAAGGGAGGCACGACGACAAACCGCGACACACTTGGAGGACCACGAGCAAGAAAACAGACTGAGGGAATAAACACTCCGAATACGGGGGGAAAGCAGGAGGAACGGCGGGAGGGGAGTGTCCTCCCTGAGTGCACTAGGCCCCGGACGCCTGAGCAGCATCGACACACGCCATCTCTGTGAAGGGGTGAGGATGAGGTGGGGGGCGGTGGGATGCTGAGGAGGAAGAGAGAGCAGCACAGAGAGCTAGATGGGCAGAGAGAGGCAGAGGAAGAGTGGGAGAAGGAGGAGGAAGCTCTGTGATGTCACATCTGCAGTGAGCCAATCCGTGAAAGCACGGTCACATGGCAGGCCGTTGTCCTCTAATGCCTCGGTTAGTTAGCGCCGTCTTTCCTTGCCTTGAGCGTACACTCAGCTGCATGCACACTGTGAAAAAAAAGAAGAAAAGATCTCAGCTTGTAGTGGACATTTAAATGCCTACTGAAGAAATGCTTCTCTGGGAAAGACAAGAATTTAATTTCAATATATTAACTTTAACTTATAAAATTAAATTTAGAGAAATAAAAATGCATAGTGAGGAAAAAAAATGGCACTTTAAAGCTGCGGTATGTAACTTTTATAAAGAAAATGTGTGTGTGTTTGTTCAGACAGTGACCATGTCGTGACAGTTTGTTATGAGACAGATAATCTGTGAAAAGATTAATCTCCTCCACCTCCTCCATGAGTTGTTGCTGCTGTCTGATGAAGCACCCCAAACAAAAACAACCAGAGCCTGGAGGAGGGGCATAGTGCTGCCAGTATTTCTCGTGAATGTGCTGCTAAATGTGGAGAAACAACTTATGATTACGGGAAAACTGTTTATCTGCTAGTTGTGCTCACGCTAACTAGAATGAGCATTCACAACAGGCTACGCTAGCTAGAGCATAGCAGAGAGAAAAGTGGGAGTGGAAGGGAGGATGAACATCACCTCACAAGATTGTGACTGACAGCGTTAAGACCCACCTCCTGTCTCTGACTGGTTGTTTCTAGTTCGCACTAGGAGAAGATTACCCTTCTTATACCAAACTGTCACAACTAAGTGACAGTTTCAACAAATATGTAAAAAACATATTCTCTATGAAAGTTGCATATTGCAGCTTTGACAAATTTAGTGATACAGTCCTTGTGCCAAATAAAAGTCTCTGACATCGGTCGGAAGAAAGATTGTCCCACGGGTTTCTTTTATATGAAGCCCAATCGAGGGCAGCCCATGTAGGCTCTGGGCTTTGACTAGGCCCCGGACATTTTCTTTCTTAATTTTGAATCTGCCTTTGGCAAATTTACTAGGATGTTTTGGGACATTTTCATGTTGAAGGGTCCAGTTGTGCTTCAGCTTTATTTAGTTTTTCAGATGGTCAGTTACGTAGTAACTAGTTACATTTACTTGTGAAACTATTAATTTTCCACTTCAGCTGCAGTTTCCAAGCCTTTGAGTTTCCACCTCACAGTGCAGAAAACTCACACACTCAGCTCCTTCAGACTAGCCAGCAGCAATTAGCAAACACCTAGTGGAACTGAGCATCTGCTGAGCTCTTAATAGGAGCTACTTCTCAGTGAATCGCTGGTGGGAATGTTGCATGGATTAATAGACATGTTGTGACGACTTCCTGAAGGCGGCGTTTCAGAAAGAGCAATAGTTTCTTAAAGAGACAGAAGCCCAATTTCAGCGCATTAAATCACAAAGTCAAATTTCTTTTAAGGCATGTTTGATATATGTAGCATTTTCATAACAACTGAAGACAACAGTTACTCAACTAAGCTATTAAATGACACTTTCTGCTGTGAAAACACATAACACTGCCCCTTTAAAATCTTTCTGCATCAGGAAGGCCAACTGCTCCTGATAGTAACTCCTAAGAAAAATCTTTAAAATGCTTTTTAAAGTGTTTCTGCTGTTTGGACTCTATGCAGCAAAACAGTAACAGCAATTCAACCACAGCAGGCCGAAAACTGACAGCTATAATTATTGCATCCTCTCACTTTAGCCCAGAAGGAAAAGGGAGTGGCAGAGGACAGGCCTTTTTTTTTTTCCTTTTTCCCTGACTCTATGTGACATGTGCAGCAGCGCAACACAACAGCGACGATGTAATCAGCTAAAAATATTTTGCAGATTTAAAAGTTGGCTGGAGGAGAAGGTAGTTCAAAGGAGGCGCACGGCGCGTTGGCAGTGGGAGTTGACATGTCTATGGCAGCAGTCATGAAATTTTAAAGACGAGAAAACGTTTGGTTGTTTCGTCTGTGATGGTTCCGATCTCTCGTACTGATGACCTCACCACAGCTGAAGATGCTGATCTGTGAATCTTATTTTCTACAACTACATGTTAATGAAGAGTCTCACAACCAGAAGCCGCTGAACGACGGATTAAAAAACGAAGCCCGGAACGTGACCGCGTCGTCCTGATCTAGTTGTCAACAGAGAGGTCTATTTCTGGGTCCCGCTGCTGGCATGAGCGTCCAGCAATAGTTGTTAATGAGCTTACCTTTGCAAGAGCCCAGGGTGTGTTCCTGTGTGCTTCCCTTCTTACGCAAGAAGCCACCCAGGGGTCATAGGTCACGGCAGCAAGGATTACATTATCTGAGTAGTGGGACTTACCTTCATCGAAACAGTTTTTGTAAAATTGAGCTGTATTATGTATTGCATGACAGAAATACGTATCTTATGAATGAATTAGTGGTTGCAATGTACTAAACAATCTACCAGGGGTGTCCAAACGTTTTGACACGTGGGGCAAAATTGTCGACTCAAAAGTTTGCGCAGGATAAGGAGGTAAATATAAAACTAAAATCAAGCACATAAAGAAGTCCAATTTATTTTATTTTTTTGCTTGATTTTTGTTGAAAGCGAATGTCTTTTGTAGTAGATACAAAACTCAGAAGGAATTTTCACATGTTTGAAAAATTAAGGGAAAGGCATCCAGTTTTCACATTATTTTGGGCTCATTTGAACAAATTCATTCTGAGTTATCAGAACAACTGTGGGTCACGTTCTTTAAAAATGACTCCTACATTTAGCCAAGTTTAATAAAAAAAATAAAAGCTGTTCTCTTGATAGACGTAGAAAAGTAGTGCCAAGTACTTTGCGTTGCACTTATTGTTAGATGATCCCGAGAAATTGTGAGTGACCGCTGTTTTCTTCGACCGTATTCAGTTTTATTTAACCATTTTAGTTTTAAGTGTCTATAAATTCATGGATACAGTAAAGCTGTAGTATTTTTAGTCCAGGCTACCAAACCATGCCAGCCTCATTCATGTAAACACCACTGGCCTGATACAAAGGGTTAAATTCGTTTTTTCAATTTTATCATTTTGAAATCATCAGGGGAGGAATTTCCATTTGATCTCCTCTGTTTTGGGGGACAAAGGGACAGCATACAGAGTTCTCCTACTGGAAACATAAGCTCTGCACTTAATGGTTGTGAGACCGCTCGCTGTGACAGACTCAGAGTGCCTGCTGGTGGCTGAAAAGCGACATCGCTTTCCTGCTGGTGTGTCAGGTGAGTGTTGCCTGAGGTGAGTTCACGACCACAGGTTCTAATGTACTGTCCCAGCAGGGAGGCAAGCTGTGGGTTTACAGCACGTTAAACCCGTTAGCATTGACATAATATCGCAGGGGGTTAGCCTAGAAAAAGACTATTTACTTAATTTCTGCGACTTTGTCAGAAAAGACAAAGCATTAGGACAAATGTTTCATTTTTCCTCTCTGAATTCAGGAGCAACAGTAGCCGCCTTTCCATTGCAGATGTGCGAATAAGCCAGTTCACGCGACAAGTCGTTCAAAGTTATGGCGGCCATTACCGTTACAGTCGATGCTTTTGGGGGGAAAGTGGGAGTCGGCCATTTTACATTAGAGCTGAGATTCAGTACTTTAAAGTGGCACACATTTTTATGGACCGCACCGCGCTGTGTCCGAAATTAAATAACAAACAAACCGTCATCCTCCGAGTCCGTCCTCGTTCTTCTTCGTCGTTTTTTATTATTATTTTTTTTGTTGCCAGGAGTGACGGGCTGCAGTTGATCACGTGACTCGCGCGTGCGCGAAAGAAAGTTTTTGTGGTGGTTTTCCGTCAATTTAGAAAAGGGTCCCCGCCGCCCCCCACCCAATTGTTTGCTTTTTTAAATTGCCGTTTTTTTATTAAGCGAATTCATTTTCTAATTATAAATTTGCGCAATTTTTTGGTTAATTAAAAACGCAGCTAGTGAGAGGCGAATAGTCTCGAAATAGCGAATTAGTCCTCCTTGGACTCTGGGGATGATGATGATGATGTCACCCGGAAGCACAACGAGGTCGATTGAATGCATGTGAGTTTTACTGTTTTCTTGTTTGAATATTTAGTTTTTTGGTTTTATTTGTGATTTTAAATAATGTCAGAGACTGCTTGGAAGATCCACAACTTCTTTCTACACGCGAAAAGAAAAGAGAAATGCAATATATTCAATATTTCATACAAAAACTCACTTGTCACAACAGTGACTGCAGCTACACATTATCTTGTGACGGCATAATAATAGTAAACATAATGACAATCTCAGTTGTGACATTTTATTTTTTGCTCTCTTTGCCATCTGTGTGTCTTGACTTTTTTTACATTTATTTATTTGAGCATTTTGGTTTCTTGGGCTTGGGCTGAGAATATTTAGAATATATGAAACTCTTTCCAACCAGCTAACTATCATATCAGCATGCAAAATGTCAGTTCACAACACCTGAAAGTCGACATTAATTACACTCCAAAGGAATGTCTTTGGAATGTCATTTCCACCACTAGATGGCAGTGCAACCCTGTAAATGCACATCCCATTTATTAGATTTTTTTTTTTTTTTTACCAGCGTCTTAACCCAGCCAGTTTTGGGTTTTTTGCCGTCAACATCTAAAAATCCTGCATGCGCTCTGAACTTTCCGTCCGCGAATAAAAATAAAATTCGCCTAACGAGCTGTGAAAATGACACAGTTTGTGTGGTGGGAGTTCAGCTGGCAGCGTCGCTGTAATCCGATCACGGCGGTACGTGATGTCAGATGCCATGACAACCCAAACTCACCAATAAAAACACAGCAGCCTCGCAGCCGGCGATGGGAACCGTGGATCGGGAGGTGGCGGTGTTATGCACCGGTGAATTAACCAATTGTCTCTGGGCAGAAAAGGCTCAGCACCGAGAATCACCAGGGGAAGAAAAGGAGCAAAAAAGAAAGGGATGATGTAATCCTTTAAAGGAACATTCACCCAAATGTAAAGACGGTGGCAATGGACACACGGGTCGAACTAAAGCTAAAATCAAATACACGTGCATGTCCTACAGACAAATTGTTTGTCTCCTTGAACAGAAACAATAAAATAGCATGAAACCCCGCAACAGCTTGCCCATACGCCACATTTTTAGATTTCTAGATTAGCCTGCTGTTGCTTTTTAGGGATGGTTACAGTCCTAGTCACCACTATGCGTTCTGGAATATTCCCAAAATGTTCTGGCTTACAGAATAATTTCATCAGGAATATGAATATGGGTTGGAGAAAGGACCAGAACCAGGTCTTTCGGCAAATGTGCATGTTGGACATGGCTAGCCGTAGCTCGAGCTAACTGCTTGGCCTGTTAAAAAGGCTAACCCGAACAAGCTGGTTTTCTTGTTTGAAGAAAAGCTGTTAACCCTCTGACATTGACCTTGTAATATTTAAACAGTGTTATACATTGAGTTAGTTATTTGTCCAATGAAAGTCTAATCAAGGTGCATTCTGTTTGTATTCAGAACCCACATCTTCCAAGTTCCCAGTCGGAAATACAAGAATGCCTGGTAAACTTGGAATTCCAGGTCAGAGGTCACCAACCAACCTCAGGTTTAGTATCTAATATGCGTGTTGCACATATGAAATGTAGACATGGCATATATTGACAGATATACTCAGTATCACTTCCGATGATTTGTGTCTCTTCAAATTACACAGAGCAAAGTGTAAAATATGCATTGTGAACATGTTTCTTTGTGTTTTAATGTATAAGTTGATGCAAAAAGCATTTCCGCATGCATTGTAGTAGTTAGCACCGAAACAATTAGCAAAGCCATGGTTTTCTCACTTGCAGCTAGAATCAGGGTCCCGTTTTGGGTGTGACTTTGTTGTCACCTCAGTTTGTTCCGACTTCTGGAACAAATTGAGCATAACATTGAACATTATGAGAATGTTGTTTTAATTTTTATGGGGGGTGTTTGTTGGAGAAAAAAAAATTGATTGATTCTTCAAGTTAAGTGGTACAGTTGACTCCAGGGTTAATACCTGAGATTTTCCCTGGAGAGGTATCCAGATTGATGCATATTAAAGGTAACAATTATACCTTTAATATGCAACAATGTGAAACCATCTTGGGATTACCACAGAAGCTAATACAGTCTTCCTTATCTCTGCTTTTAAGGATACAGTCAGTCAGGGTCAAGGAAAATGAATGGAGCTCCTGTATTGTTCGTTTTGCTAACGCCAGCCAACAGCATGTGAAGTAGCATCGCACCTAGATCTTTTAGATTCCTTACTTGTAATATGACTTTCTTATAAAACTTTCATGCAGTATTAGAAAAGCAATAACCACCTATCTTAGAATTTAAAATGTTTCACTTGCATCTTGATCTGAGGCGTTTGTCTCTTACCTCTTGTTACTTGCGTCATGTTCAGACTCTTAAGAAATGAGAAGCTGGTTCATCTTCACATCAGTGGTTTGAAGGAAATTTGTTCCCGAGATAACAAGGTCTCGGGATGACTGTGGTTCAGTGTTAGAGTAGTTGTCTTACAATTGGAAGGTTGAAGGTATGATTCCGTATGTCGCGTATCAACGTGCCCCTGGCACATTGACGCTACCTAGGTGGGCAAGGCAATCAACCCCAAGTTGCTTTACTGATCTGCATATTGGTGAGCGTGAATGGGACATGTATGTGGGTGCAGCGTAAAGCGCTTTGAGTTGTCAGTATCACTGGGAAGGTGCTATGTAAATTCAGATGTTTCTAAAGGCCTTTAGCTGAACTCATGGGAGGAATGTCTTAAAGGTACAGAACAACAAGAAAGGTTCAGACAGGTAGAAGTCAAAACCGTTGTTTGTGACATAATCTTGAATCCTTTCAGATGAAGGCGTCGGGTTTTCAGGGTTTATTCCCTACTTCCCACTGATAGACAGGCTCTGTTTATGCGATTTTTTTGATCCTACAAGGTCCGTCAGAAAAATCTAACAGGGCCGGGCTGGTCAAAAGAAAATGTTTGCTGTTTTGGCCAAATGGGTTTAGTAATCTTCTTCTGACATTTCTTTTCAACCAAACTCATGCATGCCTTGTTCTTTTCTAAACCTGACTTTCTCACAGCATCTAGTTTTGTTGTTAGCAGTCAGGAGAACACAAAACAGAAACATCGTACCAAAAAAAAAACATAATCTGTGGTATAGTGTCAGAGTATTCTGCTGTGAACCAGATCGAGAACCTGACCTGCCTTGTTTGCATATGACCTCAGCTCCAACGCCTCAGGCTAAACAGAAACACCATCCATTATAAGGAGTGGTTAACCAGCTCTCTCCCAAATTACAGTGACTCTGGATTCCAATTTTACTGATCTAGCAGTTGCACAGCTCCACATATCATGTTACACACTGTTCTCTGACTGTTACTCACGCAGACTATCCTTCCCTTGCAAAGAAAAAACAAAAAAAAAATGAGCTAGTTGTTCAACAGGCAACCAGAATTAGCTCATTTGGTGATCTGCAAGTCGACCTTCAGAGACGTTTCTGCCAAAGTAAATTTTATGTTTCTGCCTGTGACTGTAATGTCGCCGTTGACCCTCCTCACCCCCTCCTACCCTCAGCCACATCCTCTGACGAATGACGGTGGAACATTTTCACCACCTTGGCGGAGAGGCCGTTGCACACAAACGTTTCCTGAGGATGTCTGTCTGCCAGACCGCTCCTCGCGCTCGCTGCTCCCTGATTACGACTGGAGACCCTGGAGAGGTATTCAGATAAAGCCTTGATTACACAGAGCTGACCCCGCTTTTAACCTGCCGGTGAGCCTCCTGTCTTCGCCCTCCTCTATCTGCCGAAGCTCCAGACCCCGTCCAGACAGAGTTGCTCCAGCTCCTCGAGCTTCATTTTTCCATAACACCGGCTTCCTGTGAGACATTTGCCCTGTTCAGTGCTGATCTTTGGCCGCTTAGACTAAAGATAAGCTAACCTCTGCCATCAAGTTGTTAAGCCTCTTGTATAAACTGCATTGTTTGTGCAGTTTCTAAGCTTAAGGGCCCCGTTTACATGGAGCCACCGTTGAGTTAAACCTGAATGTGTTTGTCAGCCGCTCGTTTACGCGACTCCAGTGACCAGTCTCTTATATCAAAACTTTTTGGTCCCAGGTCTCAGAGTGGCACTTACCTGTAACTCCCCCCGCGGCATTAAAAAAAACAACGCTAACCATGAACAAATAAGGGGGACTACATTTACCCCAAAACAGTCAGAAATTTTGAGATAAATTGTTTTTGAGAAAATTATTTAAAAACGATACAGAAATTTTGAGACTAATCTCAGAAAATTCAAGAAAAAAAAAAAAACTTAGAAGTTTTGGAGTATGAAGAGTTGAAAAGTTGCTTTGAAAAAAACCCCCTCAAATTTTGAGATTCATATCAGAAATTTTAGAGCAAAAAAACATGAAATTTTTTGACTTCTGAAACTCAAATTTCCTGTTTTTGTGTTTCAGAGTTGTTTTTATTTTATTTTTGCATATTTTTGACTTTTCGAACTACACACATAATATTTAAAACATCTTTGTTTTTTTCTAGAACATTTCAGAGATATTTTTGGCAGAAATTTACTTCTTTTTTCTAATACACCATCCCACTTAACCTGTTCAGTACATGCTACATATGCAAAGCGTCCATGGGAGACGTGTTGCTATTTACAGTGAGGTGTACTTCGATGACACGCTAACGTCACACCGCCGTCTAGTGGCCTGGCATGACAACTACAACTCATACAAGCCCTCCAAACATGGAACTATTTGCTAATC